AATACCTTTCATCGAGACTTAAGTTCATGTTCACAGCTTTGACAATGGTGAGGCTCTGTTTTCCTCTTTGGCCACGAACAAATCCATCTATATACAACGCCAGGGCGATGTCATACTGGTTTTGAAAGCAATTTTTTCTTAAAAGCTCTTGGTACTTTTTGCCGTCAAAAAAGTCTTCCATTACAACATCGTCGCTTGTTTGGACCTTCTCTGATCTGTGCAACAATGATCTCATGCTTTTATCAGAGACAAAGTATGAAGCAATGAAATCGTCAATGTCCAGAAGCTTTTGTTTTTGACGAGCTTCTAACACGCCGTTGTCGTTTAGTTGAAACCTGGGTTCCTCACAGTGATAACACATTTCTTGATCCTCGGCGATGAACATTTGGCACCCATTCACACACATGTCGTGAACTTCTTCTTTCAGCTGTACCGTTTCACTCATTTGTTTTTTATTTAAATAAGTGGACTTTAATTTTTCTGCCACGTCTAATTTACAGAAGAATTAGTTATCATGTAATGATGTAGTGAATACGCATAAAAAGGCTTACTCTGATTATGATGAGTATCATTGTAGTTTTCATTGATCCATCTGATGATCTCTTCTTTCTGAAATCTTTTCAGATTCAACTTTTCCATCAATGCATGAAATTCAAAACTTTTTTTATCATCCAATGTTTCCAAATTGCAATCACGAATTGCAGATAGCTCCTCAGGATCACCTTTGACTGCCATTTCAGAGTACTTTATTAACTGATTCTTGGCATAATTTGAGTCTTGAATATCAGCATCACTTTCAATATCACTTTCACTATCGGTCATGTATCTACTGTATTCTGGATCTAAAATAGCACTACGTTCGAGAATGATGTCGGAGTCGCTTCCACTATCACTTTCATATAAATTTTCTAATTCAGTTGCAGCGTTGATATCCATATAAGCAATACCAGAAGCGGGAACGGGATCAAAACTGTCATCGTCAGTCATACCATATTCAAGATCAGGAATATTGGCAGGTTCTTCTACGGGCAAACCATTGACGCATGACTCAGCAGTGCTGTCATTTGTTATATTTAGTCGTCGTCTAATGATATTAACCTTCATTTCGATTTCCAAATCCATATTTTTGTGCTTTCTTTTATGAGATTCTATATCGCGAGTACGAACGTATGGTCTGTTTGGGCAAGTATCGCAACGCATATTTTTCGTTAATAGATAATTAAATGTGAAAGAAGAGGGATTCCAAATATTGCGGCACTCGCGGTTTAAAATAGGGTTTCCCATCATAAATCATGATTTCACGTAACATATTTTTCTAAATAGAGCAAACATAAGCCATCCAAAAGAATAACAATAACAATAACAATGAAATTCCAAAATAGACGTGAGGGTTTTTTTTTTCTTTCTTCTACTTTAAATAAAATACCAACTAAAAATTTCCATTAATATGTCTAGACAACCTACATGGGTAAATATTGTGCTTGAAAGAATAGAGAAGCTGGAAGGATCTATCATCGCAGAGCAAAATTCAGCTATAAAAAGTCTTAATGAAAGATTGGATCGATTAGAAACCATTTTGGGTAAAATAGCTACTACAAGTCCCCAAAACGTTTTTCCAAATAGCGGTCAAGATCAAATGCAAGTCGATTATGAAGAGATTGACTTGATCAAAAAGCCAGAAACTGTTCATGTTATTGATATCATTAACATACTAAAGAATAGCGATAGCGGAATTTTTCTGTTGAATTCTTTTGGCCAGCCCGAAACAGCAGAAGGTATGTATCGTCTGCTAAGCAAGGATATTAACTCCATTTGCAATTCTGTCCTGAGGTCAAGCATGGATGAATATGTACCTTGGAAAACGCTATCTGGTGTTATCAAGAAGGAGTTAATATCAAGAGCCTCCAGGGAAGCTCATCTTTTAAACATTGCAGACATTGTCAATTGTTGTAAAGATAACTGGGCCATTTACTTCATGTTACAGAGCTGCTGGTCAAACAAGGCTCCCTCAAAAATGAACAAAAACCGTAAGAGACGGCACTCGGCTTCTAACCAATAATGTAATGTAAGGCTTACTATATAACCATTTTGATAGTATTATTAACATGTCATATTTTCCAATGATAGTGAACGATTCTTGCTGTTGCATAGCTGTATCGACAACAGTACTTTCCCACAAGTTCCAAATAATGTTTTTTTCTTCAAATAAAGTTTTTTATAACTGTAAAAATGTTCATTTTAAAGTGATATTTAGGTAGTTTTAAAGTGAAATCTAAAGTGATATAAAGGTGGATCTAAAGTGATATAAAGGTGGATCTAAAGTGATATAAAGGTGGATCTAAAGTGATATTAAGGTGGATCTAAAGTGATATTAAGGTGGATCTAAAGTGATATTAAAGTGGATCTAAAGTGATTTTAAGGTGAATCTAAAGTGATTTTAAGGTGAATCTAAGGTGATATTAAGGTGTGGGCTGTATAGGTGACAATAAGTTGTATAAAAGTGATATTAGGGTGTGTAAAATAGGTGGCTTTAAGTTATATTAAAGTGATATTGAAGTGATTTTAACCATTCTTTAAGCGGGGGAAATCACTCAAAAAATTGGCGCAAAACACTTTCTTTAGGTGTTTAAATAAGTGTTAAAATGATCACTCGAATCACACCTATAAACACTTGGATTTTCCCGTGGTGAGATCCACAGGAGGGACACACCAGATTGTCATGCAAGTGATCGGGTAACCAAATAAATGTTCTGGGGTGATACAACTCTGATGGATCTACACTGTTTGCCAAAGCAAATGAGGGGCTTCGTGTTTGTGTCCAAAAAGTTCCTCTTTTATACTCATCAGGAAGGTGACTTTTGTTTTTGTTATTCTCTCCCAATCTTTGTTGAAGATTATCGTGAAATTTGGAGACTTCACTATCAGAGGGCAGTGAAGACGCAAATTCGTCAATTTCGTTGAATGTTCCCTCATCTAATTCTTCGAATGTTTCACCATCAGAATCTTCTTCAAATTCTTCTTCGGCTTCCTCCGTGTTTACGGGAATAGCATTGTCTTTAATACCAGTTGTATCAAACTGGGGCTTAAAATTGAGTATGTTAACAATATATTTGAGAGCATAATATCTGTATGATTCATACCTGTTCGGTGCTTGTAGATGATTCAGGTTGTACGACTTCGTCTGAAGACTTAGCAAAAAAATTTGACAAGGTGGATTGGTTATCGATCTGTTTACGTTTACGACCAGCATTGTGTCCATTTTTATTTATTTGTCCATTTGGGCGCCCCCTTTTAATATTAGTGGCAATTCCAGTAATGTTTTGAGAATTATTACTATTATTTGACATATTCAATTATAATGTATGGTAAACAATAAAAAAGAATATTATTGTGTTCAGTTCCAGCTCATAACTTATCTGATTCTCATTGCATTTGAACCCATATCATTGTGACACCCAAATGGCCGTTGTCGTGGGTCCTTTCCTTCTTTCATATGAACAAGAAACAGTTCAAATATATACTTAAATTATAAACCACATCAGACATTTAAGCTTACTTGAAGTAGCGTATGTGGTTTATCAATTCAGACGCTTATTGCACAATGTGTATTTGACAGATATATGATTACTGCAGGGCTAATCCTCTATACTTGGAAGCCGCTTACGCTATTTGAAGGCCGCTTACGCTATTTCAAACAAAATTATTGGCTCCTTAAAGCATTTGGATAACCGCTTACACTATTTGAAGCAATTCTATAGGCTAGTTTTTAAAAAAATTAAGTTTTTATTGGCTCTCCAGTCCCCTCCCACAAGCATAAGGCCGAATATTTTCGGTGCGGAGTTGTATGTGTAAAATATCAGCTGAGTGTGTATTTTCACAAAACCGTGCGCGGCTGTGGACTGAAATTCATGCAAAAACATCAAAACCTTTTTGTACTGGTTGATAGATTCAATTCCCAATGGTACTTCAATTACTTTTTTACTACCATTTTTATTAGATGGTGCATTATTTGCCACTAAAAAAAAAGAGAGAGGTCAATGACTGCATACAGCTAGAGTACTTTTTAATAGCTTACTTTGTCGCAATGATGGTTGGTTATCTACATTATCTTCAGTTCGTAAGCCGATCTGTGTTCTAACATCATTTTCAATCGAAACACTCTTCTTATAAGTACGCTTAAAAACAAACTCCTTGAAGAAAGCAACAACAAATTCGGTAGGCCCAACAGTATATGGATACATAGGATCAACGGGATATCTATGTCGGTTCTTTTCACAAAAGTCCTTCAATTTGGAAAGGGTCAAAAACAATAAATTTAACTTACATGATGCATAAAAAAACCTTCAGTTACAACATACCTTCCAATTTTCTAAAGGCATTCTATAAATTGCTGCAGTACTAGCACGCACTTTTATCGGCAAGGCCTTAATTGCAAGTTCAAACTCACATGTGTATCCCAAGGGTCTACTTTGGGATAAAACGAGAGCGCTTGAAATGGGGAGAGCAGGAGGATCGTAAGTTGGTCCAGAACTCTCGGCAGTTGGGGATTCAACGGACATAGTGTTTTTTGGTGGACGACCTCTACGAGGTTTTTTAGGTGCAGGCTAAAAAATGTATATTTAATATTTAAGTTATGCATGAATTCTAATTTTTTTTTTTTGTACCTGAACTTCACTTAAAGTTTCTTCGGCATGCTCGAATACAACTTCATATCCTTCTTCCTCGGGATTTCTAATAACACGGCGCTTAGGGTAGATGGGCTTAGAATACAAAGGATTCATAATAAATACTTTTATAACAGAAGAATGAAATGAAGGTGATTTAAGTTTTTGATTGTAAATCAAACTTTAAATGCCCAGTATTTATAACTGACCAGTTGATAATACTGGAAAGTTCCAGCAGGTTCTCTAGTAATTTCAATAACATTTTGACAGAAATGAAGACATTTTATTGGAGAACTTAATTTTTTATTTCCAAAAAAATAAAAAAAAGAACCCGCGTTTTTTTTTTTTTGAACGTGTTCCTTTTTTTATATATTCAAAAACATAATGCAAAGAAAGAAGAGTAAAGTCGTCAACCGTTTTGCAGCAGCAGCAGAAGCAAGTAAAGGTCGTGTCTACAGTGACACTGGCAAAGACTACAATTTAAAAAAAGATTATCCATTTCGTCTCAACTTTTATTTGAAACCGCCTCTCATGGAAATCACGCTCGAAGAATTCGAAGTCTTTGCCCTTGACAGACTCCAAGGTAAAAAAAAAAAAGGGAACAGCATACAACAAAAGAGTTTAAATTCATGCTAAAATTACCCAAGTTTTAAGAGCCATCGATACAGCTTCATTACGTAACAGAGATATTGCACAAGAAGCCCAGAAAGCGATCGATACTTTTTTACCCCTCAAGTCCAACCTTTCGAAATCAGACTCATTGTACGAAGAAAGACGTAAAGATCATATTAGTCATTACGTGTTGCGCATGGCCTATTGCAGAAGGTATAGAAGAGGAAAAAAGAAATTAAACTTGTACCTGTCTTTTCTAATACTTTAGTGTAGCGACGAATTGCAAGAATGGTTTATCAAGCAAGAATGTGAATTATTCAAGTATCGATTTGACCAAGAGCCAATTTCCGAAAAGAAAAAGTTTTTAGAAGACCTGAATCTGAATTGGAAAATGGTAAAGAGCTTTTTGCTTTTCTTGCATCTTTATGACAACTAAACATCCAATCATAGTTAACAACCGAGGAAAAGGAATCGATGCGACGAGAACTAGAGCTTTGCTCGCGGCCAAAAAATTTGTCGATTGGGATACACGATTATATCACTAATGAGACATTTTTTGAAGTGGATTTCGATAAGGTACCACAAATGGTAGGTCGTCGTGGTGTCTACATCAAAAAAGGTAAAGCCTATGTGCCCATGTCTGAACAGGTGAATATCGTCATGCTGGAATACAAGTCGTACCTGAAACGCGGCTTAGAATCTATCAGCAAAATATTGCCTCGCCTGGAAGAAGATGATCGTCTTCGCCCCATCTTGCAAAATGTTGAGAAACAGTATGTTGGTCTCAGTTACAACGATCCCTCAGCAGCAGCAGGCACCGTCACAGCTTCTCAGGTCGACAGCCTGGTGCAGCGTTATGCTCCCTTATGTATGCGTAGTTTGTGTGACAGTTTAAAACTCGATCATCATTTAAAACATGATGGAAGATTGCAATATGGTTTATTCATCAAGGGAATGGGTTTATCTGTGGATGAAGCTTTGATGTATTGGAAAAACGCCTTTTCGAATATTACACCTGATAAATTCCAAAAGGATTATGCATATAATATTCGATACAATTATGGTCTGGAAGGAAAGCGTACCAATTATAGTCCGTATAGGTAAAGAAACTGTCAATGTGTGTATCTATCATGTTACTGACACCCCGTTTAGTTGCTCCAAAATTATTGATAACCCACCTTCTGCCACCCAGAATCATGGGTGCCCATTTATACATTTCTCACCTTCAAACTTGGAAGCAAGATTACTCCGGGATAATATCGGTCGTACACATGTGGACCAAATCTTACAGCTTTCGCGTGACCGACATTACCAATTAGCCTGTACGAAGCACTTTGAAGTGGCACATCCTCAGGACAAGACAATGCGGGATCCTATCGAACATCCTAATCAGTATTACGAAGCCAGTAAAAGTTTGGATGAGGAACTGGTAGAAAAGACGGAACAAATGGACGAGTCTATGTAAAGTGTGAGATCCAAAAATGAAAACTTATAATTGTGTGCTTTGTTTGACAAGGAAAGGGATTTGAAAAATTACACGTACCTGAAAATAAAAAAATAGCTTGGACATACCAGGAACGTGTACCTGGCACTACAAATAAACACTTTTCTATTAGTAAACATACTTAACGTCATTATATAATGTTTTCTCTTTCTTTGGAGACCCTTCTGCAGGTTATCCACTTGTAAACCTTGCTGAAAACCAAGCCTGGTTTTAAATGTATGAATCGAGAAGTGTGTCACTGGTAATATAATAACCAAGACCTTAAAATATTTCAATTTTTTCGGATTCTATTTTTGTAATAATCATCTCGACAATCGAAAACATATATAATAAACTTAACATTTTTTTTTCCTGTTTTTTGTGCTTAAAATTTAACGTTTTAAGCTTAAAATGATACCCATATCTTAATTAAGTAATTTGTACGTGACAATAGGCAGAGAGCATGTTTGTTTCTTTAAATGAAACATTACCGATTTAAGACAGTGCCACCTTAGTACTACTATATTCAAAGCAGAATGGAAAAAAGTGTGAAAGTTTGTTCTGAATGGTAGGTTTTGATAAACTATTTGTTCTGTTGGCTGTGATTAACAAAATTGTACGTATACTTCATTCTTTCTATTCCCTTGATAATTTGATAGCTTTACTACTGAAGAACGCACAAAGCAATTTGTCAAGAAACAAGTCATTAACCTGTCGGTCATATATCAACTAAAGTTTCATATCTATCAGCAGCCAATAAATTTATAAAGTAAACGCGAATTGGGAACAAACGCAGCCTTAGGATTAGCTGCAGCATTTTCTTTTCTTTTATACTTGGGAGATAGCTTGGTCTCTAAATTTAACTAGTTGAAAAGATTTTCATACTGAAACAAAAATCTCTTATTATCTTGAACAAACGTAAGTAGAAAATCACTCAAAGACTTTTGTAATGATCAACAGTCGTAAAACATTACTTTTACAACAAATGTATGTGGTATTAGCCGACTCTTTTGAACTAAAGATGCTGTCCTTCTATGTTTGGCATGAAGACTAAACTATCATATATTTATTTTATCAATGAGGTCTGCAAAGACTCCGTATCTAATAGTTTCTGATTAAATAAGCTCCTTTAAATTGTGAGGGCTGTTTTTTATCATTCTTGTTTTAAGACAGATGAAAGTAATTATAAACTTTCTTATTTATGCATAACATTCCAAAATATGGGTATTGCCTCTCTTTGCAAATTGGATATTGACGCTGTACTTTTAAATTTGAGAATATCTCTCCTCTCACTTAAAAAGAAGAAATCAGATGGTTTAAACGTGTAAAATAAGCCGGTATAAATTGGTTATGATCCTAAAATTGCGCAAGGCTAGTCATACACTTTGTTTTCTGCTTTCAGTCTCATTTATACTCTAAGCGCTCTAAGAATATTATTGTTGAGTTTTTCGCATCCACTTCGCTCAAGATATTATATTACTCACCATCATATTTTCCAACAGGTAGATAGAGTACAGAAAGTATCAAGTCCAGTTTTCTCACTCTCTTCATAGCTTTTCCTATTATATTTTAATAGGACAGTATACTTGATCTTCTGAACCAAGCTTAAATTACGTACAACCCGGATCACAATCTACTGAGTGGTGCTCGCAGCCATCTATACAACTTTTAAAGAATACGTAGCGGTACTAAATACCGGGCTCTATGAAATTTATGATTAGGGAAAACAAAAATAGCATGTTGTTTATCATGGACAAGGATACAGATGGTGCTACAATTTGCTTAGATTTTCCTAGAAATGATGAGATGTTCTACAGAAAAACAAAACAAAGGACTTTAAAAAAAAATTGTAGTTGTCTTGATAAAACATGCTAATGTTTACAAATTAAAGTCTATTTGCTTTGGGATATATTGTAGACTCTCAAGCATTACATCTTATGTACCGGCAAATAAACTACTTCACCGAAAATCAAGAAATTTGATTGGAGCGTAAATTGAAACTAGAGCACGCAAAGTAGGTAAGAGTTGCCTCCATTTGTGTCCTCTTTTAATGTTGTAAATATTATAAAACATATGAATTTATCAAGAACTTCACCCGGTATGAATGACGCACCAGGACTATTATATGCTGGATTCAATCAAGATTATGGCTGTTTTGCCATTGGACTCGATACTGGATTCCGAGTTTATAATTGTCACCCACTAATTAATCAAGCAAAAAATGGTAAAAGCTAATCGTACCGCTTAATTTCCATTAATAACACCGATTTGGACATTTGTAGAATCCGAGGATGGAGGAATTGGGCTTGTCGAAATGCTATATCGCACAAATTATCTTGCACTTGTAGGTGGTGGGAGAAACCCTAGATACCCGCCGAACAAAGTCATTATTTATGATAGCATTAAAGCAAAACCTGTACTTGAGTTAGAATATAAAAGTGAAGTCAAGAATGTAAAGCTTCGGAAGGACAGGTAAATGACAAGCTATATCAGTAATCCCATGTATTTAACTCAGAAAATCATAGATTGACGGTTGTTCTTCAGAATAAAGTCTTTGTTTATCACTTTAGTTTACCACCACAATTATTGCATACATTTGAGACATGTGACAACGAAAAAGGTGATTAAAATAGAGCATCTGTTGTACATGCTAAATATACTGATGGTACTCCATTAGGCCTTGCTGCAGTATCAACATCAGCGAATCATGCAATATTAATTATTCCTGGAAGGCAAAAGGGGCAATTACAAATCATTGATTTAAACTCACTTGGTTATTATATATCCGTCGGCGAATCAGACCACACCAATAATTATATTGGATCCCCACAGTTACCACCTTTACTAACTTCTGACTCGTCAAATTCTGCAAATTCATTGACTCATAACAACAGTAACGGTAGTGCCAACGGTAGTAGCACGCGCAGATCTATCAATGTCAGTATTATCCCTGCTCATACCGGCAAACTCAGCTGTCTATCGCTTAATCAAGAAGGATCAAGATGTGCAACAACTAGCGATAAAGGAACTTTAATCCGAGTATATAATACGGCTACAGGCTCACTATTACACGAATTAAGACGAGGTGTTGATAGAGCAGAAATTTATGCAATTGCATTTAACCAAGAATCTACCAGACTTTGTGTCTCCTCAGATAAAGGCACCATTCATATATTTAATTTAGATCCGTCTGTAGTCACACACATGGATCATAAGCCTCGTGGTCCTACGTATGGTGAGGTTGTATCTTATCCAACGCAGTCACCAACAAACTACGGCCTAACCACTACAGGCAATCGTGGAAGTGCTCTTAGTTTTATGAAGGACCTTTTGCCAAAATATTTTAGCTCAGAATGGAGTTTTGCAAACGCCAAAATTCCTACGGAAAGTAGATGTTTGGTTGCCTTTGGAGAGCAAAAAAACTCAATCATAGGTTAGTTCGATAGTTCTTAAAGTATACCATATATTCATATTAAATTGATTTAGCTATATGTGCTGATGGTACTTGTTACAAGTACTACTTTGATCCTAGAAAGGGAGGTGAATGTACCAGAGAATCCTTCGAGAGATTCTTGAAAGACTGAATCACATGCGTACAATAGCTTTTGATTACTATTCCACTATTTATTCCTATAATAAAAATCAGTATCATAGGCATCTTTCAACTAATTATATTTGTGATGCCCATGCGGTATATGTATAAATGAAACTTACGAAATCTCTTGTGGACAGCACACAAATCAACGGAAAACTGACCTATTAAATTATAATTGTCATGATTTTATACCACTTCGAAGGGCAGTAACTATAACTTTTGGACCATTGATACTCATACTTACTGTATAAGTAAATTGCCTAAAGGTTGTAAAAATAGTTGTTGTTTATCCAATAGTACATGTCTTGCAAACAGACAAATTTGAACACGTGTGAATGCGAAACAACTTACTGGAGGCATTTTAGTAACTCATCTACGCTATTAACTCTCCTCCGTATATTTTTAATTTGAAGTTCAAATTAGCGGAAAACTGCAAGAATATTTTTATGATAATCATCAGGTTTTTTATTGCTTCACTGAAAATATAACATCGTCAGTTGAAGTAGTTTACAAAATTGGGTCGTAACTCGGACTACCTATTACTGAATCATAATTGTTCGAGAGTGATTTCTATGAGAGGAATAAAGAGTAAAGTAAAATGGGATTTAATTAATCAAAACAATCCTTTGTCTGTTATTGCAGCACTGCTACTCAACGACATATATATAAACAAAAATTTAGTTGTTACAATTGTAATTTGGACATTTATTTAAAAGAAATATTCCATCATGTTATATGTAGAATTATATCGAGGCTGTTTATATGTATAGATAAGGTATTATGGCGACATGAATTTAATCAAAGTTATAACCAGTCTCTCTGGAGTAGAGCTTTTGGGCCTCCTCTTCGGCTTGCTTCTTAGCCTTGTGCTTGTCAAACCAGTCCATACCCTTAGTCTCAACCAAGTTATCAACAGCACCGGCAGATAAACCAGCGAGCAACTCCTTAGCCAAAGCATGGTCAACTTCGTTACCTTCCTCTTCTTGCTTCTTGTTGTAGGCTCTTAAGGCAGCAAATCCAGCAGCAGAAGCGAGTAATCCGTGGGTCCAGTTTTGCTTGTGTTCTTCAGTAACGACCTCAGTGTTAACGATGGTATTATAGGCTTCTTCGTGATGAGTCATGGTTAAAAGGTAAAGATATCAGATGATAACTAAAAAAAGAAGAACTCAAGAAAATTATTGACCCTTTTATCCATTTTCTAATTCGAAGGCAGTTTAAGTAAGATTTCCTTTTTTCACTGATGATCCGGACTCATCTACGTGGATAAGACAATATCTTGTAGATTTGATATTGCTCCGTCAGCCTCTTAGTTACACCGGCAAACACTAATGCACTGAATTAAACTATTTCCCCTTCGATAGAGTTTTTTTTTTAATAATAATGTTAAAGACAGCTCCATCGCAACTTAAAATAAAAATAGACCTTACTTTAAATGATTTATTTTATATAAAATTGGAAGGTATTACAAAATGATTTCATCTGCCAATATATAATACAGAAAATGGCGTTCAGAAAGTCTAATTTTTTTCTAAGACAATGATTTCACCTTACTCCCTCACAATATGTTTGGTTGCCTAGACAAAATGAAATAATGAGAAGCTACGTTTGATTAGATTAATAAATTAAACAAAAATATGCGTTTTGAGATAAGGATTGCGCGTTTTTGGTCTTTCGAAACGCTTAGCATGATGATGTTCGTGTTACAATTGTTATAAATCTAACATCGACATTATGTACACTAAAAAAACGGACCTCACAAAACCTAAATGGAATATTAAATGTCATGACGTCCCTAAGACCCATATATTTTGACAATGGACATAGTACAATCACAGTTTAAACAAGTAAGAGCATTGTAAGATTAGCCGTAAAAACAAAAACCTGTTCGAGAACAAAAAAAAAAAAAGGCCGCATGCAACCTTGAGTATGCATATAGTGTTTTATCGCCTATTTAATGTATGGAATCAGTACAACCAATTTATAAATAAAAAGCGTCTTGGCATTTAATGAACAAAGACTCCGATTCGTCAAATAACAACGCGCCCAGTTCTGTGTTTTTTTTCTTTGCTTCACACGGTGTATGATAGCATATTGCGTTTGGGACATGATATAAAATTACAAAATCTAAATTTTTATATATTTTCTAATGCGGAAAAAAAAATTATGAAATGTTTTTTTTAAGTTAAAATCTCAACACCAGTTGCAGTAACAAGGAGGGTGTGTTCGAATTGGGCAGAACGTTTACCATCCTTAGTTGTGGCAGTCCAACCATCAGGCCTGAAAAAAAAAAACTTTAGTTTACTTGTGCATGAGCGTGTCAATTATAGACTTACCACATAAGTTCTTGGTGAACACCTTCACAGATCATGGGCTCGATTGTGAAGATATGGCCTGGCTTAACAACACCAATAGCTTTGTTATCTATATCAACGAGTAAGAATTGGCGCCTTATTGTGTGCATATAAATAATCTCACTTACTGGCATAATGAGGAACATTAGGTGCGCAATGGAACAATTGGTTGATACCGTGACCACAGAAGGTACGGACAACAGAGAAACCGTTCTTGGTAGCATGTTCTTCAATGATCTTACCGAAATCACGATATCTGATTCCAGGCTTGACTATTATTATTTTAAATATTAGCAAGCTGTTTAAACAACACATATAAATTGTACTTACCAGCGGCAATAGCTTTATCTAAACATTCACGAGTGACATTAATCAATTTCTTACCAGCTTCATCAACGTTACCAACACAGAAGGTAGCATTAGCATCGCCATGGAAGCCATTATAGAAACAACTGACATCAATGTTAATAATATCACCATCAACTAAAGCACGTTGGTCGGGAATACCGTGACAGATAACTGTAAAAGAGAACTTTCTGTTAAGCTTGAGCGCATTACGTCGGGAGTTTAATTCGATGATTACCTTCATTTAATGATCTATTTTCAAAATATTCCAAGTGAAAGGTTAATAATGACCCCAAATTATTATTATGCGATTTACTTACGTGCAAATAGACTTGGGGAAGTAGTTGTAGTTCAAAGGAGAAGGATAAGATTTACGTTCAATAGTAGCTTCGTGGGCAATACGGTCTATATATGGCATATTAATAAAAATTGATAAATCATTCGCATAGTATTAATCATTACCAAGTTCATCAGTGGTGATACCAACACGGATGGCCTTAGCAGTGATCTCAAGAACTTCACGGGTAATCTATGCATAAATTCCATAATTAATAGTTGCTTTATATTAGAATTTATATCAATGACTTACTCTACAAGCTTCTCTAACACCTTCAACTTCCTTGGAGTTCAAAACCTTGATTTCAGAACTTCTAGCCATGAATTCGGACTTGGGGATACCTTCATTTAAAAAAGATATGATTAAGCTTATAATTCACGAGCATCAGCTGAATTTAGCTTACCAGTTTCGGCATAATCGGGTCTAGGAATATCTTCAGGAACAGCACGGCGAGGGGAAAGAGGGTAAACAGCTCTAAGAGGACCTGCATACTTGAAAGTTTTGAAAGGTTCATAGGGAGCTACACAATTAAAGTCAGTAAACCTAAAAAAAAAAAAAGAAAAACGAGGGAACTGGAAACTTGTTTTTGCTTACACTTAGTGTTTCCGTGGATGGCCTTATGAGAGCCCTATTTAGCAAAGACGAATGCGGTTGAGTTAGATCTTGTTCAGCCGATTTCAAATTGTTTAATTATTACCCAACTTTTCTTGAAACAGTCTTGAGAACAGAAAAAGGAGTTTTCATTCTTTCCCAACTTTACACAAGTAGGACATTGCAAATGAGCTTCATTCTTACACTCAATAGAGGCACAAACAGGTTTCTCTGACATTGTTAATAAAATCGTTTGATTACCAAGAAAAAAAAAAAAAAAAAAAAAAAAACTTCAAATGCATTTTTCTTAACGCAAAACAAGTCACAAAGCACAAGTTAAAACCAGAAAAGTAAAATGTATGCTGATGCTTTCATGATTTATTAATTTATTGTGTAGAAGCCTTTTCTACAAGGTCTATAAGTCTCTTTAATCCTGTAATCCAATTACCATGCTTTTCATAATCTGTAGTCATCAGTTGAGTTTGAACATTTAAGGCCTTGGCATACTCTTTCGATTCCAAGGCTATAATATGCACATAATTAGACACACCCTGTTGTCCCTTTCTGCTTACGTAAACTACTAACCTTCTGACAGAGCATGAAGCGAACGAACTACCTCCTTTGATAACTTATCACCTTCCAAATCTTTCACTAACCCATCAATTCTTCGTGCGGTATCATCAACAACCCTCTTTTGGGGACCACTCTACAATTGCGATAAACCGTTATATAGCCATTCTATTAGCAATACTTCAACTTACAGTAAAGGTTGATTTGCAACATTCTAATTTGCTTGAAAAGACATTTGAAATGTCTTGAACATTCAGGGCATCATCTACCTCATCTTTCGACTTATGGAAAATCTACAGGGGGTCACACTAATTTAAGTAATTTTTTACAGGATATATAATCAACTCAACATACCTTTTTGGGAGGGTCGTTCTATCAAATATAAGGTTAATAACCGTATACAATCCAAAGTTTCATACTTACCCAATGTGTTTGGATTATTGCTGTGCGAAAATCAGAAGGAGGGGCTACAGAGGATGGCGAGGAAGGAGTATCTGATCTCATTATTATAATTTGTTTCTTAAAAATAAAAAGAAGGATGAAGAATTAACAAAAACAATCTCAAATTGGTTCTTTTTACAATTGCTTTTATTGTAATCTCCGCTGTCATTATTAAAAAATAAAAAAAAATGATGCTTTTCCATTTTAGAATCAACCAATAATATAAATAACACAAACAATATCATTTCAGTCTCTTGGACTTTCATTCATAACAATATTTAATAAATAAAAGTAGCGATTAAAAAGACACATAAGCGTACACTCCTTAGGGGCTTGTTCATATCCAATGAACCCAATCGCATTGAATCGTTTACATAGTAAACCTATGTCTGTAAATTTTTATGTGATTTACCTCATAGTTTCTTTCTTCAAAGTCGCCTTCTTTTATCATATATGTATCCCTAACAATGGATCAATTAATCCTACAGCGTTTCAAAATTTCATTGCTTATTTCTGAAAGAGAACAACGTGCGTCATACTAGCAACTCCCTTACAAACGAACAATAAATATGTCAAGAAATCTAATGTGACATTTGGAAAGTAGTTGTTCAACTATCATGGGTATAAATTATCACTTGCATTTATGAATCAATGCTTAAGAGAACCCAATATTTATTTCTAGGTTTGGGTGCTCATTTACTATTGATCAGAAGTACTACATGAAAATCGTACGCATCTTACATTATGAATGATATCACTATATTAAAAAATACCCAACGACCGAAGAAAAAGGCAATCTCCCCTGTAGATTTTATGTCTTATGCCATTCGTAAGAGCGTTTAATTTTTTTTTATATATATATATATTTCTGAAGTAAGTGCCATAAAAAACACAAATAAATCAGATCAAGTCCTTGATCTATCTTGTGTAAAGAAAAAGAAACATGAACATAATGTTCCTTTTTCTGTCAAGATGTAAACTAAGATTTAGGTTAGCAGTGATATACCAACAGCAGGAACAACGAAAAGAGATCAGTTACATATCATTGTTATCCTCATCATATATCCATACTCCTTTGATTTTTTTACATGGCTTCAAATAATGACTTGATTTGTATGAATGATTATGTTTATTTTTTACCTATTTTTAAAAATACAAAAGGATAGAGTAAGGGAAAGAAAAAAGGAATATAAGTAGATGGCTTGCAAAACAAGCTATTAAATTTTAGGTTCCACTAAAGCGGGAATTGCGAAAAAAAAAATGTGGTTTCAGGGGTGTAGTTACAGTAATGAGATTAATGGGCCAATGCTTCTAAAATGACATCGGCTCCTCTTTTGACAAGTTCATCGGCTACCTTAATGCCTAATTCAGCGGCTAATGCTAAGTCTTGTTCGTTAGATTGGGATTCTTCTAAAGAGATTGAATCTTCGAAATCAACCATTTGTTGTCCATCTAAACTAGCAACCAGGCCATGTAAAGTCAACTTCTTGTTTTCCAGACTTGAGTTCACACCGATCGGTACACTACAACCACCTTCTAATTTGCGCATGAGAGATCTCTCAGCCAAGCACATTATACGAGTGGGATGATGGTTAAGAACATCTAATAGATCTCTAGTTTGAGTGTCGTTGCCACGGCATTCAATACCTAAAGCTCCTTGTGACACAGCGTGTAATGAATCATTTGAAGGAATCACATTTGAAATTCTATCAGCCATGTTTAATCGCACTAAACCTGCAACAGCCAAGATAATGGCAGCATATTCACCCTCAGGATCATCTAATTTTGCTAAACGAGTGTTACTAGTAAAATAGTCAGCAACAATTTCCTATCAAGACGAATATATGTCCACTTACAGATTTCCACGCTAGAAATGATATAGTTTTTTTTTTTTTTTTTTTGTGAGTAACTTAGTAATAATGTTTGCGTAACAATGATTTACTTACAACATCCTTGTAAACCAAATGGGGATATTTGCGAGTTAATTGAGCCACTCTACGAAGAGCGCTAGTTCCGACCACAGAACCAGCAGGTAAAGAAGCAAGGGTGTGACCTTTGTATTTTGGTGAGAGAACCAAAGCATCGTTTGGATCCTCACGTTCCATAACAGCACCCAAATACATACCATCGGGTAAGACTGTAGGCAAATCCTTTAAACTATGTACTACCAAATCGACTCTACCATCCTCTAAAGCAACCTCAAGTTCCTTTGTGAATAAAGACTTTTCTCCAATTTTGCTTAAAGCAATGTTTAAAATGCGATCACCAGTGGTCGACATGGACACTACTTGAAAGTCAAAATGAGGAAAAGTTGTTTGAAGACAGTTTCTGACAATCTCGGTCTGAACAAGAGCAAGTTGAGATTTGCGAGTACCGATACGAATGATTCTTCTAGTTTGTTCTACTGTATTAACCATAGTGTAATGTATGAGAGTGGAGGGTTTGTATGATAATTCAAATAAAACAAGGAACAAACAAGAAAGCTCAAACCTTCTCTACCATGTTATAAAAGATTTTTATACTCAGATGAAAAAAAAACGATTTGTAAACAAGGATTTGACCAATCATACTCCATTATTACGACTCAACAACGGCCAAATGGCCGCTCTTTCCGTAAAGCCCCTTATAAATTACTAATTGCTTATTTTAAAAAAAGTGCTTGTGCACGATATTACTTTCGAAGTGTTTTATCCGGTGGATATTGTTGAAAAACGCAACACCATAGTCGGTCTCATAGCCAGAAAATCAAAAAAATATAAGGAACAGCAAATCCGGGTTTTCAACTTTCCTGCCAAATAACTGTAACGACACCTTCCTAGAATTCCAAAAAGGATTGATGTCTCGACAGAGTAATTGCTTAAAAGGAAAGTGAGAACGACATTTATTATTACAACCTTTTTCAAAAGGTGAAAATATGAGCGGTTTTATTTGTTTAAAATAAAAATAAAAATGTAACCAATCATTTTTTTTTTTTGAGGTAACTAGCTAACAATGTCTGTGCACACTATACCCGGCTTAAATATTTTCTGCCCGAAGGTTTCTATTTTGCCCCCTAGCACTCTCAAACAGAACACCTATTTGGTTAACAGGACTAACAATAGACAAAAACGAGTGATATAGTTAAACTATGTGTTATCAGTGGATACAAAAGAAAATTGACAAAAGGGTTAAAAATAAACTAATTATCATTTTAATATGGATAAAAATAAAACGAGGTCAATCCATGTATTTCCTAGTACTATGCTGAACCAGATTATTTTGACACACAGCAATGACATGAGAGTTTGTTTATTTACTGCCTTTAACAATAGGCTAAATTCAATATGGTAAAATAATGATCATGATACCATAATACACCTATCCGCTGAAGCCTTTACCAGTGCAATAAAGATAAATAATAAATTGGACATCCATTATATCGTGGGGAGCCACACTGCTGAAAAACTAACTATATTTCCTCGACAGCTGTACAAAGATAGGCAGAATAAGGTTTGGGCTATGACTTGTTCACTATAGGAATTACTTTTACATCTTGACTTGAGTGATGACAAATTATTCTATTATCTTGATCAAACGATGGTAATCGTATACTCATACTCGCTGTTTGGAATCATTCATTCTATCCTAAATATTACACCCATGACACAGACCGAACCCCCCGCCTCCCGCCTCACCGAATAGTTGTAATAGTGATACTAAAACGTAAAGAGGCTACGTACCTGTATACCATCCATATTCTTCATCTAAGTTTGGCACCTAAATAGGAGTAGCAAAGATGTTTCTAAGATTCTTCCGGATGCTTTTGGTGACGTGGGAGTGGTATGGAGCCTAACTAGCAATTTATAATAGGACGGTGTTTCAAGACTGTTTTAATAAGTATGGCCAACAATTGAATATTTTTCAGGGGAACTGTTATAACCCGTGTAACGAATTGCCAAAGGTATCACTGGCTGTAGTACTGAACCAAAGTGGGGTATGACCAAATTGCAGTATATTACACGGCTAAAATAAGGTTAGCTTGTATGAATGACTTTAATTTGATGCGGTATCACAGCAATTCTCCCAAGCATCCTAGATCATGAATATGTGCATAACAAACTTACACGAAATTTTGCTCAAAGAGTATAATCTTTCCGTAATAGGCGCATTAATTCCAACTTGGTTGTTAGACTTGGAAAGAAATTCATGCATAAACACGCGGTATACAGCCTTTCAATGGAATTGAATAAGCCTATATACCCCTAAAGATACCTTAAAGGTAAAACTGAGCTATATCGTATTTAACGTGGGTGATATTTTGACAGCATGTGACACAGATGTTATTCTTGGGCCGGGCTAAATGATTTATTTACATGTATTTATTTCTCCATGCATGCTTTTGACTAGTCAGCCGCAGAGAAAACAATACAGTAATAATATTGCGAGTTTTATGGGACAATTACATGTTTTATGTATCGTTCTCGTTCATCATTTATACCATCGCATCGTATCCATGTATTCTAAAAAAGATAATGACACGGCAGTCGAATATCGCGCACCTTACACTCACCCGGCTTTTCTGAATTTCAAAATCGAATGGGGTTTGAATTGTCGATGCTGCAAGAGTGCACTAAAGATGCATCGATTCTGGCCTGATATATATGAAAATACACGGTAAAAAGTGACCACAGGTAATCGAAATGAAAAGAGAAAATGGATTATTCTAGGTTATTCAAGAAGAAGAAGGGATGAAACCTAAAATGGTTTCTATGGGTAAGTTTTTCTTTTTTTTTTTTTTTTTTTTTTTTTTTTTTTTTTGCTTTCGGGAATGAATTTGATAATCTACACAATTTAACCAAAAAGAGATTTTCCCCCAGATTAAGTTCAGATTTATTTCCGTTTTCTTTTTTTCCCTTTTTTTATTTATTTTTCATATACCATGTTTAAAGGAAAGAGATCGAAAAAAGAAGGTTCGACGAGTAGAAACGAGGAAGAGATCGATATGAACGACATTAAACTTGATAACGTCAGATCTCGTCACACACCCACAGATGATAAAAACGCCAACGGTGAATTCTTTGAAGATGCTGGTAGAGTTTACAGCAGAAGTGGACAATCCGGATCGATAGGCGATGTGATTGATGATACACCAAAGTTACATAGAGGATTAAAAGCAAGACATGTATGTATTCCTTGTGTCAACTCCTTTTTTTTTGTTTTTGTTTTTGTTTTCTGACATGTATTACCTTTAGTTAACAATGATCTCGTTGGGTGGTACAATCGGTACAGGTCTGTTTTTGGCCTCTGGTGCTTCGGTGGCCAGTGCCGGTCCAGGTGGTGCACTAATTGCTTACGCCCTGGTTGGTCTCATGGTGTTTTTTATGATGGAATGTTTAGGTGAAATGGTAAGAAAGAAAAAGATGAAATTAAACTAAAAAAAAAACTAAACTAATTTTTTTTTTATATTTTAGGCTACTTATCTTCCTATTTCAGGCAGTTTCAACAATTATGCTGGTCGGTTTGTTGATCCTGCTTTGGGTTTTGCCTTGGGCTGGAATTATTGGTACAATTGGGCTGTTACTGTTGCTGTTGAATTAGTATGTTATAAATACCTCTTCCCTTTACATGTCCATATTAACATTTTATGCAGACTGCAGGATCTATGGTGATGGCTTATTGGTTGCCTAATATTCCAGGTGTCGTCTGGTCAGTTATTTTCTTGGTCATTATTTTAGGATTAAACTTGTTTTCCGTCAAGGGTTATGGTAACTAATCATCTTTTATTGTCTAAAACATGACTGGAGTACTAAAAAAAATGTATATTCTATAGGTGAAGCCGAATATTGGTTTGCTTTAATCAAGGTCCTCACAATTATTGTCTTTATCTTGCTCGGTATCCTAGTTGACACAGCAGTTTTAGGAGGACATTATTATGGTGTCGAAACTTTTAACTATGGTGGCATTCAAGGCCTTGGTGTTCTTAGCACATTTTTGACTGCAGGTTTTTCTTTCCAAGGGACAGAATTAATCGGTGTTGCAGCCGGAGAAAGTGAAAATCCTCGTAAGAATGTGCCCAAAGCCATCAAGCAAGTATTCTGGCGTATTATCCTGTTCTACATTATTTCTATCTTTATCATTGGTTTGATTGTACCTTATGATGATCCATTACTTTTGAAGGGTGACGTCAGTGATATTTCTGTATCTCCTTTCACCTTGGTCTTCATTAAGGCTGGTATTGCTCCTGCTGCTCATATTATGAACGCTGTTATCTTGACAACCGTCTTATCAGCCGGTAACTCTGGATTATACGCTTCTAGTCGTACTCTTTTGGATCTTGCTAATGAAGGCAAAGCACCTAAAATCTTCCGTAGAATCACAAAGAACGGTATCCCCATCTATTGTGTACTTGTTACTGCCGTTATTGGTATGCTTGCCTTTTTAACATCGCTCTTTGGTAATGGTGTTGTATATAATTGGCTTTTAAATATTTCTGGTGTTGCTGGTTTCATTGCTTGGTTAGGTATTGCAGCCTCTCATTACCGTTTCCGTAGAGCCTATGTGTTACAAGGATACAAGGTAGAAGATCTTCCATTCAAAGCTAGACTTTTCCCTCTCGGTCCCGCATTTGCATTCGGTATCTGTTGCTTTGTATTGGTTGGTCAAGGGTATGACGCATGGTCTTCTACTCCTATTGTGGCAGCAGATCTTGTTGCTTGTTACATTGGTATTCCCGTGGTGCTCGTAATTTTCGCAGGCTATAAAATTGTTAAGAAGACGAAGCTTATTCCCTTGATCGAAGTTGATTTGGTTACAGGTCGTGAAGAGTTTGAGTAAGTAATGAATAGATTTGGTTATCAGATAAGTACTGACTTTCTTTTTTACCTTTTTTGTTTTAGCCTTCAGGATTTAGAAGACACAAAAAAGAATGATCCTTTAGAAGGTGTGAGTATGTTCAAACCATCCACCTGGAAACGTATTCCTTCCAACATGAAGTCTTGGAGAGATGCTTTCCATAATTAGATTAATACAACCTGTTTTTTTTTCATTGTAAATATATTTTCCCCCCTCTTAATCAAAATTACATACATTTCTCTCAATAAAAGAAATATTGCATCTTATATATCACTAGTTAGACTAGTGAGCCTTTTCTCACGTTTTGATAAACAATTGTTGTACAGAAAATGTAATTCTGTTTTATGTTTTGTGATCGTGATCCATAAAAAATGGGCCGACCGAAATACGTCATAAAGGTTACGTATAAAATCAGTAAAAATCAATCCTGCCTTTCTCCTTTTTCCCGCTAATTACTTCAAAAAAAAAATGACAAAAGAAGATACCTTATTAAACGAAGACATCCAGCCGTCTCAACAGCTGAAAGAATCAAAACCCATATGGATTCCTATAGAGTCAAATCCTGATGTAAGCTTTATATAGGTTTTATGACGACTATCCCTTACAAATAATGTACTAACTGTCCTGCTGTTTCAAGGTTCTGAACAAGGTAACTTTTAACAATAGAAACATGTATAATGTATATTGAGAAAACAAGTAGATTATTCATGAGAACGGCGTTGATCCTACATGGAGTTTTATTGATATACTGGGTAAAATGGATAAATATGAAAGAGACCGTTGTTGATTTATTATTAAAACATGACGTATAGGATTTGACGAGGAGTCCATTGCCGAACTCCCAAATCAAGTTGCTGCTATTATTTTCTTATTCGCTGATACAGAAAACTATCTGCAATTCCGGGATCGAGAGGATGCACACTTGAAGATTCATGAGCAAAGTATCAGTCCCAATTTGATGTACTTTAAACAAACCATCACCCATGCCTGTGGTATGATGGCATTGCTTCATTCTTTAGCCAACAACGCCCATTTAGTTGGACCTGGACCATTCTCCAAAATTATCGAGGATACAAGTAATATGTCACCGGAAGAAAGAGGAGAGTATTTGGAAACTTGTCAAGAGCTGGCTAAGATTCATGATTCTGCAGCTCGTCAGGGACAATCAAAGATTCCCTCACAAGACAGTATTATCCATCATTTTGTTTGTTTTGTAAATGTCGATGATCACTTGTATGAACTGGATGGTTCCAGGGTTTTCCCAATTAATCACGGAAAATCCACAAACTTTGTAAAGGTAAGATATATATATATATATATTGTTGATCAATCGAGATTCATTACCTAAAAAAAAAACCAAAATGTATTTAGGATGCCGTAGCTATTATGACACAAGCCGTTGGCAGGGATCCCGATGAGAATGAGTACAGTGCTATTGCATTTGCCAAAACTGCTTAAATGTTTAAACGAATAAATAAATAAAAAACAAGCAAAAAAATTTATTATTCTATACTACAAAAAGGGGGGGGGGGGAGTTGATTAAAGGGTAAGGGGGGAAAAAATAGGGGTGGGGTTTAAGTGATGAAAAAGCTAAAGAGAAAGAGCATCAATGGTATCATTTACAAGTGTTATTATTGGGGTGGTGAGTGTAGTTTGGTAACTATTATAGCTGAGGCAAAAACCTTGGTCTGGATCCTCAGAGACCTTTCCAGTGGTCGGATCCACACGTACAACATCACAAATGGCAACACTTTGAGGGCTTAAAAAAGGTAGAGGCTTATACTTCAAGACTCCTCTTACAACTAAGCCATAAGGGTAACGAATAATACGTGACCTATTAAAGCTATTAGAAACAAGATATAAGCGCAAAACACTTTTTTTGTTGGCTTACCATCTTTCATTTCCGCTCTTGTCCGCACCAGGGGATTTAATTCGGATTTGACTAATGGCTGTAACAGGCTCTTTGGAATAGAATGACGTACTAAAAGATAGAGGCTCATCGAAATGATAGAATCCACCCAAATACTCTGCAGGGTCCACACCACGAATATCTGGATCGTCACTCTTTAACATAGGTACAACCTGACTAAACGCGAATACACTGATATCAGCATCAGCCACATGCACGGTCCAGAAATTTGAGTTTAGTGCGTTGATATGAAGATCAAATATAAGCTCTTTATCAGAAGACAAGACCCTTCCCATCTCCACATTCAAATCCACAAGAGGTTTTGCAAGATAAGCTATACAGATCATTAAAAGAACAACAATAGCCAAAACAGTTATCAGAAAATTTCGTATTAGACGAGAGCTAGTAAACAAAGAAAAGTGCTTATAAGTAAGTATTTCCATAATGAAAGTCTTGATTTGTTTAATACATACCATGTACTATATGATTTACGATGTCGTTCTGGTGATCTCCTAGGTGATAGTAAATGTTGAGCTTCCTCATCATCAGTGGTATAGCCACCATCACCCACAAGATAATTTGAATATAGTTTTTTGGTATTTCTTCTGCTATGATGAGGAGGGCTGCCACTATCTAGCCATTCACCACTACTGTTTAGTTTAGATTGGCTGTTGAAAGGATGGTCCATCACATAGTTTCTTAATTTAGGCCTGTTGTTCAGTTGCTCATCACCACTACTGCTTGTTCTTTGTTGTTGTAAAATAGCCCTGGAATCAGATTTGTTTTTAAACAGAATTGGTCTTAAAAATTCACCTAAAAAACCAGTCTTTTTTGCAGGCAATAATAAGTCCTGCTGGATATTAATAAATGAGCGAGTGGATTGTGGTCGATAAAGGGAAGATGTTGTGCGATGAATGGTATCTGTTGAATTCACATGGTAAGTTGTATCTGTATTATTACCACTGTAAGGATAAACATATTGCTCATTTTCATCCGAGTCTGGAAAAAAAAGAATTAGTAATCTATTTATACCCCTTTTCATTGTTTTATATATAATCTGTATCAAACCTTCAACATTAGACACAGCGTCTACCAAGTTTCGATGAAAAACCTCTGAAGGAGTAGCAGTGCCACTCATGGGAGGCATTTTCTTTCTTTTGATAGTACGACGATCCTGTATCGCTGTTAATACAAATTAACATATTTATATCAATTCACTGCTTACTTCAACTTTTGGCTTTGGCTTTGGCATTAAAGGTGTACTTTGACTTGGCATGGCACTAATCATGGAAGCAGCCGGAGTAGAGGCACCACTTAACGATTGAATTGTAGCTACCATGGGTAAAGTAACGGAAGTTGTCAAAGGAGGAGATTTAGTAGTTGATTCTTCCTTTTGCTCATGGTTAGGCACAACAGTGGGTGTGGATATACTTGTAGTTGGTAATTGTTGCAGATTGGATCCCGATGATGATTCAAATTTGGCTTTTTCTACAATCAAGTTTTTATCAACAGGAGTCGTATGTGGTATTATTGCATACTTTGAAAAGATGGGTCGCTTATTCTTTTCTTGATGATCTTCGTCCGATCCCTTCATGACGGTATATATAAAAAAAAAAAAAAAAAAAAAAAAAAAAAAAAAGGAAGAAAGAAAGGAAGAAGAGAAATTTTAATATGCAGGATTTTTATTTTATATATAAATGATGATGATGGTAGCTGTAATAATGAGGGGAGGGGCGGGGGGTCGGCGGGGGATTAACTCAGCCAACATAAATTGTGGTTGTTGGAACTGAGGTTTGATCAATTGGCACTTGAACCAATTGATTAAAAGGACATAACATATCCGATGGATCATGTTTATTGTTCTTATTTGGTGCGCAAGCACTAAACTTTTGCTGTAATTGATGACCACGTTGAGTTAATACTGTTTTATCCACTTGTTTTCCATGTAAATCTAATACTGGTAAAAACTCCAAATCAGGTAGTTCCCGCACAATGTCAGTGGAAGGCACATTGTATAGTTTTTCTGCTAATTCATAAAGCCCTTGCTTTTTCTTGTTTCGGGTGATGGATGTAACAGTTGAATAACTTGACCCAAATGATGGATATAACATGACATATCCACGCATATAAATCATTTCGTCAAAATATTTGCGCCATGAGCTTAACCACTTGTTGGATTTCGCTACAGTCAATAATGAATCCTTGAATAAATGTAGTTTACCAGATCCTCTTTTCACTGTGGCTTGATCAGTTAATCTTGCTGAAATATAATCATGAAATTCTCTCCAGTGTTCTGGGAAATACAACGCTCCACCAAAACTGCATGGAGCTTGCATTAAATAAGGGGAATGTTCTTTTGCGGGTATTAATAATTGGCGTCCGGATGGATCGGTATCTATAATACGTGGTGAATACAGACTGATACCAAATAACAATGATGATGATGTTTGTTGTTGGTATCGGTATTTCAATACATTGTATTTAAGCCAGATATAGAAGGAATTGGATAATTCAATACGGTCATCTAACATGACTGCATACTCATGGTCATTCGAAGGGTACCAGGCCTCTGCAAATATTTGCATCGGATGTACTCCAGAAATACGGTGTCGAATATTCTTGACTCCCTTCTTCCATTCGAACCCATTAACGGTCTTGATGGTCTTTTCGTCGCTCTTTTCGTCCATCACAATAGATAAATCCACTCTATCTCCCATATAATGTGCTTTTTTCAGCCCACTAAAGAGTTTCTTTGCCTTGTCTGATCTTTTACCTCCTACTTCCACAATCAAGTTGATTTGCGGTGTGTGCCATTCTATGATACAAAGGTTAGGATCGCATATCATTATCCCAGTCTCATTTTTACTCACGTTCTAATGTAGCAACCGATAAATCAGTGATCCAAGGAGATACAAACGGGATGTCCTTTGTGGGCAATGCAATGACAGTTGTATTTTCAAAAGTAGGCATATCATGTGCCTCTTCATAAATGACAACGCGTGGTGATATCTTGCTCACTAATCTATCCGAATCCTGGGTATCATGATGAATAATTACCGCATCATGATGACACGAGATACCATTAGTTGACACCAAATGGACTAGATTCTTTGCTGCAAAGTTACAGATCATTTCATCCAATGCATCCGATTGTTTATCTTTGTAAAACAATATACCGCCGTCGACATTAATACATGCGTTTTCTGTGTTACCCTTTAATTGATAATCACTATCACTTGTCGGTAAAAGTATCGAAGGTAAAGATAGCACATCACTGATGTTGTCTGATTCTTGTGAGACCAGTGTGTTGAACCATTCACGTCTTAACACCCAAATATCAGAAATCGATGTAACACTGTATGCTTGGTCCTGTTGGCAAATATTTGTGAATTCTTGCTCTGTGCCAAGAAGAGAATGATGAAATAATGGTGTATTTAAAAGGCCGAGAACAAAGTTGAAATACCCGTGGCCCGGGATCACACCGTTGTCAATAACGATATAAAAATCAGACTTCACGTCTGGTTTGATATGATTGAACCAGTTCTTGTTTCCATTCACCGTAACACTATATCCATCTATTTCTTCTTTTTCCTTTTCACTCTCACAAACTATATGAATATTTTGAGGGGTCAAGAAGTTTTGCTGCTTCGAAATAGCGTCTAATTGTAGTTGTAATATTTCTGTTGATTGGTATTTGATAACGATCGCTGTTGTTTGTTGTTTAGATAAGATTGTTAATCGCTTTAGTTGTTGTAATGAAAGGTGAATATCTGACATTGAAGTCGGAGCAACGAGAGTGTCTAGATTGTCAAGTTAGTATATTGCAACTTTTAATGAGTGAAGAAAAAGAAACGAACCTGTTGGCCTTAATAAATTTTCTAATAATGTGTAATTTGTGATCTCTGTTGAATCTAAATACCGGGTATACTGTTCGGTGATACTTAAATTCAAAATGTGGTACATTAAGCATACTGTCAATAGAGACCCCAGTGCGCCTAGCACTGAACTCTTTGGTCTCAGGAACATTTTTATTGTGTTTGGTAATGAAGGTAATGACGAAAGAAAAAGAAAAAAAAGGAGATGAGAAGAAAGAAAGAATTTCTTTCAAATTAAACATGTCGCACAACTATATTTTTAGTTTGGATCGACACTTACAACGTGCTCCATTGCCCTTCAAAAAAAACAATCTCGGCTTTTTAATATTAATATCGGACTCCTTTATCAGCCAGTGACGGCCACCCACACGCGGCCGTGCATCCACTAACGGAGAAAGGGAAAACCAATATTTGTTTCATGTACTAAACAGACACAACTATGATGTAATGATTAGAAAAAACTCACTACTCCGAGGTTCTCTGCTCTTTTTTTTCCGTATTGTTTTTTCTCATTATTTGCCCTCCACACATAAAATTATGTACCATCCATACCAGCAAGAACAGCCCGTAAATTTAAATCACCAAGAGCAAAAAGACGTTTATTACTCGGAAGAGAAACAAAAGCGAAAACAGAGTTTAGAAAAGAATAGATTAGCTGGTACTAAATTTATTATCATCATTAAATATTCCGCTTTTTACTAAAACATACAACAACAACAAAAAAGCCTATCGATGTAGAGAGAGAAAAAAGCAAGAACAACAACAAATGGTGGATCAAGCAGATATTTTAAGTTTGCAAAATGAATCGCTACACATAATTGTAAATAATCTAAAGAATGAAGTCATTAGTTTGAGAGAACTGTTACTGGCTCATGATACCTGTGATTGTGAAAGAGTGCAATCCTTTATTCAAAAAAGTAGTTCATTACTGTGATATATCAATAAAATCTCCTCCAGAAACAATCAAGGCCATATTTGGTATTAAGACAATAAAAATAAACAAGATTTGTCTTGTTAGCATTCAAACTGTTTATTTAGGAACATTGAGAAAAAAAGATTTGCAGAGAGGAATGTTATGTAACATCTGAATATAAAATAGCATTTAATCCCAAATAATGGCATTTTTCTCTTTTCATAGTTGTTAAAATTGCACGCCCAATATAATGATAAGATAATGACTTTTTACTTGTTAATAAGAAGATAAAAGCTCCTAATCTATTCAGTCTACCTGACATAAACATGTTTGCACTTGTTTTACACACAGACAAAACTTGTATCGACCTGGAAACTTGAATCGGCCTGAAAATATGTATTGGCTTAAAAGCTTATATAAACAAATCATTTTGGTTGTAGCATTATGAATTAGATTAACAATGTAATAAGCTTTTGTATCTAAGAATAGAGAAGCACATATTGGGACAAGTTAATTTTTTTTTATCAGCTTGAGAGGACCTCATAAAGAACTTTATAAAACTAAAACAAGAAAGAGGCAACGGTTAAATATGTAATTATAATTTAAAAAAAGGTAGATAAGCATTGCCAGATGTATATTGCAATATGCCAAATATCTGCAATAAATACAAAGAATCACCGGCATGTTTATGTCATATAAGTAACTGGGCAACCTCTCTAAATCTTGCATATAGAACATCTATGTTAATTGTTCAAGAACAGACACTTATTAGCATATATACTTGTACAATCTTCCTGCAATCCTTGAAGCGTTGTAGACTGTACAATACAATAAGCATGAAATTGATGATAAAAGTCTCAGCCAATGATGGTAGTCGTTAGATTTCATTGGTTCAAATTTTAAATAATGTGTATGAATAAACGTCTAAAGTTTCCCGTCTCTTTTTTAAATTAACAACCATGGACGTAAGTTTGCCTGACACATTTGAATTCGTGTTTCAATAACATGTAAAAATAGGACTATTACCTAAGTGCAAACAACGATTCTGACTTTGCAACGTAAATAGCTCAATAATCTCGTACTGATTTTGTAAAAAGAAGCTAACGTTCCTAATAGTGACACCATTGATGACCAAGTCTTATCAGACAAACCTCGTATTTTGTTAATGGGACTTCAAAGGTGAGTGAGAAAATGTTAAAAAGCACTCGCCCTAGTTGACTAACTCATCATTATAATTTACAGGAGTGGAAAATCAAGTATTCAACGTGTTGTGTTTGGGAAGATGCCTCCAAACGATACATTATACTTAGAAAGTACAACAAAAATTCAAAAAGAAGATATTACGTAAAGTACAGCTCAGTTCATTTAGTACATTCCTTTGAACTCGTATTTTTTTTTTTTCTTTTGGTAGTCGATCCTTCATTGATTTTCAAATTTGGGATTTCCCTGGTCAAGTCGACTTCTTTGACGAAATGGCATATGATCCTCAAGATATTTTTGGGACTGTAGGAGCATTGATTTTTGTTATTGACGCACAAGATGATTATAACGAAGCTTTGCACAGATTATATACAACTGTCACTAGTGCATATGCAGTAAATCCTAGTATCACCTTTGAAGTATTGATCCATAAAGTAGACGGTTTATCTGACGATTACAAGATTGGTATGCAAAACGAAGATGTCTAACATTCAGAATATTGATTTATAATCTGTAGATACTCAAAGAGATGTGCAACAAAGAATGGGAGATGCTTTAGCTGATGCTCAAATGGAATATATTCATTTGACTTACTATCTTACAAGCATTTATGATAATTCTATTTATGAAGCATTCAGTAAGATTATTCAAAAGTTAATTCGAGAATTACCCACTTTGGAAAATCTGCTTAATGTTTTGTGTTCGGTAAGGAGCTACAGGTTTTAGAAATTAGCATACTGACATACATTAACTAGAATTCGGGCATTGATAAAGCTTATTTGTTTGACACTTTAACCAAGATATACATTGCAACAGATAGTTCTCCCGTTGATATGCAATCATACGAATTATGCTCTGATATGATTGATGTGTGTATAGATGTTGAATGCATATATGGGTAAGGATATATATGCAAAAACGCTTTACGTGGTATTAATATATGAAAAAAAAGTGCCCAGGGTAATAGTCCCAACGACTTGTCACTAGTTCAAACGCCTGATCATATTGGGGACGCTTTAGATGGCCAGCAGACACCTGTTTCTCTTGACGACGACAGCCAGCTAAATCCTGATACCGATAGTCTTGACCGTCGATTATTGGAACATCAAGAACAAGACCAGCAACACACTTCCTCATCTGACGTTGAAGCATCAAGTCTAATTAAGTTAGATAATGGAGATGTTCTTTACATGAGAGAAGTGAATAGGTAAATGGATGTGGTTTATTACTTCACTAATGTTAGACTAACATAACAATAGACTTTTGGTACTGATATGTCTTTTGCGCCAAGACAATTTTGAAAAGCATGGTTTAATTGATTATAATTTCCAATGCTTTAAGGAAGCTGTGACCGAAGTCTTTGAATTTTCAAGGAAAAGAAATACCCAACAACAGTAATAAAATAGTATTTAATATAAACAGCGTGAAATTTTATTTATTTTACATAAATGATTGGAGACTATTGGATTAGGATGCTGTATGTATAGTAGATGAGAAGAAGAAAAAACGGGGGAGGGGGGTGTTTAGAGGGTAGCAAGAATCATGGAATGTTGAGCACCAGCGGAAACACGGATAACCTTGTGTCCTTCCAATTTTTGTCCTGTCAATTCGGTAGGAGTGGCTTCGTCATTACCGGAGCCATTACCTAATGCATAGCATTCACCAAAACCCCAAGTGTAAGCCTTTCCGGATGCAGTTGTAGCAATGACATGGTTGGTACCAGTGGCAATTTCTGTGACATCAGTAAGATTGGGTACCAAAGTAGGGATACCCACACAGGTCTTGAAGGAAGATGCTTCTCCATTTTCTTCACGGGTTTCCAACTGCTTAACGAGTTCAGTTGGTAAACCCAACTGATTTGAATCAGCACGACCAAAAGTATATAAAGTTCCGTTTTCCATTAAAACAATAGTGTGATGTTCACCAGCTACGACTGATTTAATGGCTCCTTTTCCTTGAAGAGATTTAATGACTGTTGGTTTCGTAATGGCATGAGGTGCAGGTTCATTGTTTTCATCTGCAAGTCCACATTGTTGGTAATTGTTGAGTCCCCAAACAAGAACTGAATCGTCAGCATTAACAGCTAAGGAATGATAAGAACCAGTTCCAATGAGCTTGATATTCTTTAAATTCAAAGTTTCAGGACGAAGACCATTAATTAAATGACGTTCCATAATACGACGGCCCAATTGAAATTGTTGACCGTTACCCCAAACAAAAACACGTCCATCTTTTGTTAAAGCCAAACAATGATCAGTACCGGCAGCAATATCAACAATGACTTTCTTTGCAAAAGGCTCGAACAAAGCGGGGACATCTTGAACAGCTTTATCGCGAGAGAAACCAAGAGGTCCTTCTGCACAACGATAAGTACCCCAACAATAGAGCTTTCCCTCGTCTGAAAGTGCCATTGTAACGGAATCACAACAGGCCACCTTTACTACCTTAACATCGTCCATATTCTCGACCTTTCCAGGAACATATTCGTCTCCAGATCTTCCTAAAGCACGTTGATCGTTACAACCCCAAGACCAAAGCTAAAAAAATGGTCTGATATTTTAGCTCATTTTTTTTTTTTTCTAAAATCCTAAGTTCCTTTACCTTTCCTTCCTTAGTAAGGGCGATAGAATGCATACCACCACAAACAACATCAACGATATCCTCGTCATCAAGTGCCTTAAGAGGCATGGGTTTCTTACGTTCCAAAAATACATCACCTAAACCAAGTTGACCAGTGTCACCGGTTCCAAAAACGAAAACTTTACCAACCGTGGTAGGTGCTTTCACAATGTTGTTTAATGCTGTATGTTTAACTCTTTTAACTTGAGCAACTTCTTGCGCTTGTCCACGCTTCATTGGTGGTGACAAAGGTGATGCATCTGCCATTTCAACGTCGCTGTTTTGTCTTTTGTTGGCTAAGACAAAGCTTTGGTTATTTTCTAATGCTTTTTGTCTTTTTACCTACAACTTACTCATTCTATTTGGTTTTTTTTTATTTACTCGTAAAAGAGAAAGAGAGACGAAAATGAACTCGTTTAAGTAAAATACTAAAAGTTTTTTAATCTTAAGCAAGTCACGACCAATCGCCTATTTTTTTTTTTTTTTTTCGAAGAACCTTAAATCGTCATATGGTTGCACTGGTTGCTAAATTCAGCTTATTGACAGCCAGACATATGTCAACAATAAGCTAGTTGCTGTAAATCCATAAAGAAGTATACCAAATGATTATTGACGCAACCATTTTAATGCATCGAAGTTGCTGTAAGTACTGCAGCTCTTTATTGAATCTATTTTTAAATCATGAGGATCGCTTACGTGTGTTTATTTTGGCTTGCTCTTTCCAAAGTTCATTATTTTTTAACTGTTTATCTTCTTTATCAATAGTTCAAGATTTATAACATTATAATGCACAAGTTAACGACTTTCATAATGGACCCAAAAAAAAAATAAGATTCCGCTTTCATACCATTAAAAAAACTAGTGTAGCGTAGAAAATCTTCTCTCCCATAAGGTAACTAGCCAGCTTTCGCAATGCTGTATTGAAGCCTCTAAAACTCAATAAGATGTAAAAAACTTAACCCGAAGATATATGAAATGTGCTGTATCTGCAAGTATAAACTAATTTTGGTTTCCTACTTTGATTATACATTGATTGTGATAACCACTTTGATATCTGCGTGTTACATCTATAAAAAAAAAAGATGGTGAGCTTTGTAAGTTTCAAGCAGGGTTTTTTTAAAAAAAAAATTTCTGTGAATTTATTGTAATGGTTTTTAAGTATTTATATAGTATATGTTAGATAAGGGAGTAGGCATTTATATAGATAAAGTCTAGCAAAATATAATTGACATGGTATTTACGGTGTCAAATCTACACATTATTGGAAGAGTACTTGTCTCTAGTCTGGCGCATTTCAAATCCATTGTCGACATGTGTCAAGTTATCTACGCTTGTGGATTCAGAAGAAAGTCTTTTAACAAGTCCACCGCCATTAACTTCATTGCGTTTGGGGAGATAGTTGCCCATAAATAATACACTGTAGAAAACAAAACTGATTGCAATTGCAAGTCCATCAAACACATAGAAAGCCCATTCAGCTCTTGCAATGACGCCATCATAGCCAGTAGCATATTCAGCGATACGGTAAATAGAACGGACATATAACAGAATAAGGGTGATATAGAGACATCTCATCATATTTCTTTTTGCGTTGGGTTGACCTTCGATGCTATAGTCGTATTTGGGACTACGGTGGACATGTACGGTAATGAGGATAAAAGCTGCGAAAAAGACTAACTGGATAGCAAGACCTACGAGAGTAATTTGTTTACCTAAATCGGCATTAGCAGCAGTTGTTTGCATTCCACCTCCCGATCCTTGCAACAGGAAAGAAAATATGTCACTAGAAAAGAAAAACCATGTAACAAACTTGGGTCGCAAGTAAAAAGGCGCATTTTCGATGTTTGATAGTTTAATGACTTCTCCTAAAGCTTTGTAGTTGACTAAGGCTAACGCATTTGGGGACAATAATAAAAACATGGTCATGATGATGTATTTGCCCATAGTTGTTTCACCAGATGAACAAAGGGCTCGAATGAGATAACCAATACATTCTGCAACAGCGGTACAAGGTAAGATATACAAGAACAGACGACTTTTGGATCGGAAAATACGAACGAACAGGAACAGCGCAATCACTATGAACACGATTAGACCAACGATACCAAGAGGTTTACTTGGAATATAATGGAAAAATCTTAAAGTCGAAGCGGTTTCTGTATCCATGGTAATTATTTGTAAATAGAATATATGTATGAGACTAAAGAAACTATAAAGCTTATAATGGCTCAGTATATATACGATTAAGGTCCTAATTGTGTTACATTAGTCGTGCATCGAATCTTGGCTTTCTTCTTCCCTCCCTGATTATTGTTATGAAAGTCTTGGAACCGGATTTTAAAATTGTCAGATCCAGATCCGTGAAAACAATTTCTTAATTTTGAAAAAAAAAAAAAAAAAAAAAAAAAAAAAAAAAAAAAAAAAAAAAAAAAAAAAAAAAAAAAAAATGTTAAGTTTCAATTTATCAAGTATTTGCTATTGATGCTTATCAAAAGTCTCTAAAGAGTAGCAATATAGACACATTACAAGAGTTTGGGGATTATCAAAAGTTTGTTTAAGGCTGAAGATCCAGACATCTTTCGGTATCATGCGAATTTTATTGGTTGAACCTATAAAACTATTTTAAGTATCTTTTCATCTGGTCGAAATTGGGGACAGAATTTACACACTTTTTAATAGACACAATCATTGTGGCATACCTTGGATTTGTGTATAAACTTTCTAGACAATAATATAGTATACAGTAACACCTGTTGACGCGGGATTATTTTCGTTTATTGAATAAATGGTTGTAATAAAACTAATTTTTAGAGAAAGTTCTAATATCTGAAGCATCCTTTGACTATGCGAAAAATCAAAAGGGTAGTAAACCGATTAAGAGCTGTGATCGTAACATAGCATACCTGAGACTTTCTTTCATTCTTCAATCGATAAACAGTTTTTGACGCATTACTTTATCTTGATTTATCTAAGTATCATTCTTATAAGCCCAAAAGCCTCATTAGTTTCTTTATAATTTAGAAAAACATAGTTCCTTGTAATCTGTATGGAAATCAGAAAAATATTTGAAGTGTTGTTATCAGTAACTATTGAGCAGAAACGTTTTACCGCCACAGTTAGAAAGAGTGTAAGCGATAGTTTCAATAAGCGAGTGCTGTGTCTATTATAAAAGCAGTGTAGCATGTTATCAAAAATCCCCACGTTTTTCGGCTGTTTTTCGGAATACTCGTAAAAGTCTTGGAAGAGCAAACCTCACTCTCGGGTTTTGAAAAAAAAAATCCAAATCAGGAAGTAAATCAGCATTATAGTTGAGATGTCTTATCAACATTTTCGGATGATATTGACAATCTTTAATATTTGAGTGGTAAAATAAAGAAAAGTTGTTGTCTTACTTATGAATTCGCGGGCAGCTAACTGTGGAAACTTTCACCTTCACCTCGCTTCAGTAAAAACAATTTGTTTTCCAGATTTGATCAAACTCGCGCTAATAGCTGAAACTTTGATGATTATTTTCAATTGGGATGAAAATATCTTTTTAATTTCATATTAATTTAAAAACTTTTTCGACGTCTTTTTTTTTATGGTGACATCCTATTATCAGTCTAAAAACCACACATTTAATATACTTGTAGCTCATCATCTGATGTACTCCAGGTCTTTTTATTTTATTTAATAAATCGAGCACCAATACGTATCTTAAAGAAGGCAATAACCCAAATTACAGTACAAAAAATCTTGCATATATACATATCCTTGCTAATTCAACCTCTTAAAAAGGAAGAATAGCTCTTCTTGTTCTACTGGGTTTTGATCGACGTTGTTAAAAAAGCAAATTGCGTCACTTTTGATAATAATAACCATTAAAATGAACTTATATATAAAAGCTTTCTAATACTTCTTAGCAATCCGCTGTAGCTCGTGAAACTCATTTATCAAGTATATCCTTGTCATTTCGGACTAGCATGATTGCTCAAGATAGGATCCGCTGTTCCTGACTTTAAAAAAAATCTTTCACTTCGATATCTAAGTGTCGTGCAAAAATTTGGCAGCGGTCAATTTTTGATCAAATAGTATGGGCCGCGAGTGCTGCCAATTTAAATAATAGTGGCCGCGATTGTGATCAACTTTAAATCGTAATCGCGAACGTGATTGAAATTTATCGTACTCACCACAAGTGCTATAAATGTATATATTATTATTGGCTGTATTCAACTAGTCGTTTCCGTTATTAACATATCTACCCAATAGTTCCTAGTGGTTCAGTCTGTAGTCCCTCCTTTTACAGTTAACGTCTTCCAGTGCTTGAGTTTCGAAGGTTAGAAATTAATTTTTATTGGGGCAAATCACACTTAAATCAAATTAGATATAGAATGAGTTCTGTAAAAAATTGTATACATGATCAACATGGTCATTTTCTTTTAGAATATCATTTTTTAAAAAAGGATACATCAACACTTGCAATTGTGAAAAGCTCTCCTAGTAGTAATGGCCAACCCCAGCTGCTAAAAAAAGCGGGACTTTAAAAATATAGAAATGTGCCTGGACGTTTTAACAGAATAAACCAGGATTTTCAAGCAATAACAGTTTTCAGAGTGAAAAAAAAAACTCTTATTTAAGAGACACTGCTGGGGGTCATTTTGGGTCAAGACTTTTTAAGACTTACGGGTGTCTAATCCGAATTCTAAAAAACTGGAGTAGGTCCGACTTGGTCAAACGTCCAAATGTCCAATTTAAGCCCTGGGATTCAATAGTTGCCAGTAATATGTACTTGGGACCTCATCCATTTTTTAAATTTCGTCAAGAATGTTTAAAAAAACCACTGAAAAAACACTTAATTTTTTTTTCTCTTCTTACAGGTGTGCTGTCATTGTTTCTTCATATCTACCCATCATACCCAAATCTCTTTAATATCCCTTCAAAAAATTCCTCTTCATTATAAGAAGTGACATGACTCATTTTTTAAAATCTAATACGTTCTCTTTACACTATCCATAACAGAGGAATCAGTTGCATCCTAGCTAAAACGTCGCAACACAATAGGGGGCGCCAAACATTAAAAGAAAAATTCCCGGGAATTTCTTCCCAGCCAAATTCCCTAAACTTTGCGGGAACGATTTTTTGTGCCCGAGATTTTTTGGGTAAGAAAATCCATGCCCGAGATATCTCAGGCAAGAAAAGTGTAGTCACCCACACATAAAAAAAATCCCGGAATTTTGAAAAAGTTTAATGTTTGGGACCCCCTAATACGATCCAAAAAAAAAAGGATGGTCCAACACGGATTGCCAATGCAGGAAGAATTGTCCATTGTCACGGTTGTTTTCAAGAGTAAACATAAAAGTGGGATTTCACTGTGGTATCCTTATATTGAAGTTTTTGGAAATTGAGCCTTTGAATGACAACCAGTCTCGCGCTCCATATATTTTTGACAGAGGCTCACAACATGTGTTTCTCTTTTAATAAATGATCAGAAAAAAAAGTGTCTTTAAGCTTATAACATTCATCAAGAGTATCTTTAATCTTAATACATCCAGAAAAAAAGGATGATTACTTGGGGACTGATAATTTTTTCATTTTTCAATTATGCAAATAGTAAGACAAATCTCGTTTTTCATCTTGGTCCTCCATTTTGATATTCTGTAACTGGAAATCTGTCGTTGTCCGAATATTTATATCACTTTTTCCTTGTACAAACGGGTCAAAAAAACGTATATGATTATGCGAAGTTTTGACTGAAGAGTATACCCATGCTTGTTTGCGTACATAGTAGTTGTATTTTACTTTGAATTTGCAGTTATATATTCTACAAGTAGAACAGAGCTGTACTTTCCGAGCGTTTCTATAGGAATGACTAAATTTATATGGGAAGTTGTCGTTTTCAATATCACGTTTTATTTTTTCAATAACTGAACTTCTGTCCTCCTTTGAAATGTTGTACGAAAGGTTTGAGGGTGTATAAAAGAGGTCATCGTGTCCATCCTTTGTTAATTTTGGCATCAGGGAATAAAAAAAGTTTTAAAAGGTCAAAAAAGTTTGACAAAAGGGCGGGCATCAACTGATTACATAACCCATTATTTTTTCATATAGCGCTCAACTTGTTTTCGATACAGCAATTCTTGACAAAGTACTCTATAAACTTGATTTGTTCGGTGTACTCTTTTTAAAAACCAACGATCTTGTGTTAGAAATTTTTCGTATACAATTCGTCATAAGTAGGCCACCAGTTCATCCCAGAACTCCACTATGACCGGGTAAAAACTCAGAAACAGTGAATAGATAACAAAAATAAGATGCTTGTTCTAGGCCTGAGTAGTCTTTCGATGGCAGTTTCTTCACAATTAAAATCTTGAAATACGACATACGGTCTTTATGAAAATGATACAAGTCTTCCAACCTAAACCACATTGTTGTTAGCATCAATATTATTATAGCTTCTAAATTGGTCAACATGAGGCCTTGTTCATAGGCTATAGCAATTGGCAGCGTAGTCTCTATTTCAGTATATTATTGATATCCTCACACCAAGTACGTCAACAGCAGAATAAGGCCTAAATCAATGTTTTATAAACCACGTTCATGCTACGTTGTTGAAGCACTGCGCAATTGACAAAGAAAAATTGCCCTTGAGTCAGAGTCATCGTTAAACTTATTACTCTTAATATTCATCGTGAACGCAGACAAAAAATACCTATCTCTTTGACAGCTAAACTCACCGAGACATACCATAGTTATTTTTGAATAATGTAAGAGTATTGAATTTAAAACAACCGAAAGTTAAACGACCTCAGGCTATGACGTTTAAAAGTCCCCGATATATTGGAGGGTAAACTAGTTGATTATAAGAAAGTAAGGGAGTGAATGAAGAGAAATCCGGGAGAAATCGAGCGAGAGTTTAATACGTTCGTCAAAAAATTAATGAGCTCGTGAAGATATAAACAATCAATCCATCCTTTACATATGCTTATATATTTATATTTGCATTTATACCTTTATGTCTTATCCTCTTATGCTTATGAGTCGTAAATAAAAAAAAGTCGAATTTTTTTAGTGCTCTTCTCCCTCAAAAAAAAAAAAAAAAAAAAAGTATATGATTCTGCTTTTTTTTTTGTCTTGATGTATGTGTACGAATAATTGAACATAATTTATATTATAGAAAAACAAGCATCCTCCTGAACGATGGTAAAATATGCATTAATTTTTGATCGTTTGTTTGTTCCTGGCAGTATCACAGATATTTTGTGAAATAATTTATAGCCGCAGGTAAAACCAATTGAAAACTTCATAAATACGAAAAAAATTTGCTATGGACTACGGTTGTAAAGGCATCAAATAAGAACCCCAATTAACAGTGTGAAAAGGTGAGAAAGAAAACACATATTGAAAATAAAAGTCGCAATTATATGTTCATGAAGCACATTATATGTACAACAGCGTTACAAATGGCGATCTTTCTATACTCATTAAACAATGGAAAGCAAAATAAAGTTCAGGAAATCAGCAAAAAATCCTTATCGTCGCATTTGATAATAAAATAAAAAATGAGGACACGTTATGGCTGCGCAGTCATGACTCAGCCTCACCTGATACTTTTTATAGTAAAATCATGCAAACACAGTTATTAGAAGGTTTTGAACACCTAAAGTATAAGCAACTATTGTCAAATATGGACTAGATGTAGATTCTAAGTTAGTAAAAAGCTTAAATTCTTGATTTATAAAAACGTCTTAGTAGCGTCATAAGGTCTTGCATTTAATACGGACTGTAAAATTTAAAATGTCAATGCACCAAATGCCATGTCTGAATTCTTATCTTCTGCAAAAATCAAGGTTCCCAAAAAAAAAAAAGACGGTGGCAAAAGCGTTTTTATCTCCAAAGATCAAGACAACTCAGGTTGTCATCACCCATTCTCCCCTCAAGTCGGATTATAAACTTTTCAAGTTTTAAAAAACGAACACCCGACGTTGCGTTGCTTGAAGATCTCTGACTTCACAAAACATTTCCCTTAACATTGAAAATCATTTCTTGGTTTCTCGTTGATGTCAGATATTAAATGTAGTTTTTTTTTATAATTTTCATTTCAAATGGACCGCAATTTTATCCGAGAATTGCATCACTTTGATCTTTTGTTTATACTTTATCACGATTAAATGCTAAGCTTGCAAGACGATCACGAATATTGTCACTTGCTAAAAAAACGAGCTGCCTAAAACAGCCCATCAGTGCTATTCATATTATTTATTTAAACTTCATCCAATGGGATTGCTCTTATAATTTTATTCTGTGTCAGCCTATTAAAGTCACTACCGTTGATGTGATTTATAATAGCCATATGCCGGAAGAACTTGTTTCGCCGAAACAAAAAAAAAGATCATCTTCTTACGGTTATTCAAACAGGTTTTTTTTAAAATGACTGTGAGAAATAAAAAATGGGGCTCATGTAAAGTTTTGTTTATACGTAAGGGTGTTTTTATTTCTAAATAAACATGCAAATTAAAATATATCAATAGAATTTTGAGAAAGACTGCTGTAGTATTTCCTGCCTAAACAGCATTAGAGGTGGGAATAGCTCATGAACTTAATGCGTAATTGTCAAGGCTTTTGATTGGCTATGACACTTTCTTAATACCTTAGAGGTATGACCAGTTACACAGCTACATTTTTTCTTTATATTTTTTTTTTGGGTCCTGCGCGTCTAGTATAAAGCTGGAGATTCCGAATCCTAAAAAAAAAATTGATGTTTAGAAACGTAATCGGCGTAGTATATTTTAGGGAAGCGTCATTGGATTTTCAGGCGTATTGAGTGGGGGGGGGGTATAAATAGTTACAGCCATACCCTAAAATATATCAGTTGACTATATGTTTCTAATATGTCTATCTAATCTTTCCATTTGGAGAGAAATATAGAGCTGATAGCTCGTACTGATGTTGCACATGGGACCACGCAAAAAGGGAGATGGCTCTCGCCATTTTTTGTGTTGTGTTTCTGATCTGTTATATTAAGATTTTATTTCGAAAATTGTTCATCTATGCATAGTATTAGATCTTAATAGTGCATGTAATAGTCTTATCGTGTTGAGTCTAAAAATACTGGGCCCATCGTAAACGTTTTCCCCACTTCAAAAATTTGAAGCTTCAACGGCGAATTACTAAATTGGTGACCTTCTTTCCTTTTTTAGGATGTTCAAGTGACTATGTGGTACCGTGCGACTTTAGTTTGCTTGAAATAATAAATATAACAGGTAATAGATAAGATCCTTCGCCGCTTTTCTCTCTCTTATAAAACCTTTTTATCTCTTTTTTCTCACCATTTGGTTTTTTTATTAGTAATTCTTAAAAAAACTTTCTTCTATTATTTAAATTTGTACGTATACTATCATACATCAAACCACCACCGTCAAGTTTATTCATTTTGTTATCGTTAATATTTAAAGAAGAAGGATACGATAAACGTAGTCCTCGAAACAATAAAAGCATGATGCACAGCCTGATGGGGAATAAACACCCAAACATAAGCTTTAATATTTTATTCTATCCGCAATACCAAAACGACGATGGACAAGTAGTTTGTCATCCTGGTTCAGTATTTGAAGGCGTTGTCCAAATAAAAGTAACCGAACCTATGCCTGTGCATCACATTAAACTAGTTTTTAAAGCATCAGGTATGTTGTCATTGTGCTTTATACATAATTATAGATATTCATGTAATTAATTAGAAAGAGTCAACTATGATGCCATGGGGTGGGAGAAGACCAAAAACTCTGATGACAGACTTTTTGCAGTAAGAACTGTCTTGTGGGGTTTACCAACAGGAATAAACATACCCGTAGACGCATGGCCTGTTTTAGACGTGGGAGAACATAATTTTCCTTTTGTTTGTCAAATGCCAGTAATTAATTTCCCACCTACCTTTCAACATCATCTTATTGCTACCGCATTTCAATTAATAGTTTCAGTGACCAAAGCAGGAGAATCATTACCAATTTTATCGAAACCTGCAACAGTTTGCTTTCAGCCAATTATCGAGACTATCCCTGTAAAAAATCTGTATGCGTTTACAGAAGAGACGAAGGTATCCAGTAATATATCAGCCGTTGTGACAGTCCCTCGCTTGGCTTACAACATTAATGATAAGAATCAATCTATCTCTGTGGTAGTTCAATTTCAGTCTGTCAGTAGTAGTCAAGATAATGTGTCGGTATCCCAGCTTCGTGTGCAAATCAAGAGATATTACAGTATCAATTACAAAACCTTTTCAAGAAACGAAACTACCGTCATTGCACAGCATGATCATCCTCGGGTAACAAGTGCGGGAACAGTATCAATCAATCTAGATTTACCAAATTCTCCTGACGAATTGCCTTCTACGCTGACCTACTCACCGCATTTGACAGTTGAATATAAGCTTGTGGTAACTGCCAAAGTTCGTCATGGGCTGATGAGCTTCAGAAAGAGATTATTTGAAATGCCAGTTATATTTGGAACATTGCCAGCTGGTACCAAAGCACCCCGTCAATTGGAACCTTATTCCGACATTGTCGATAATCGTTCCATCATGCATTCAAAACCGGCTTTCTTACGCCCCGAGCCAAAAGCAGAGGACGATAGCGAATTCTTGCCTGCTTATGGTGATGATCGACCACCTGCTTACAATAATAATGCAAGTAGCAGCATGAGAATAGTTGAAATTACTAGCTAGACAATGATACCTTCCCCTTTTTTCTTTATAACCCTGTCTAACACAGTTGTATATATATTTATCTTTTTTTTTACACACCCCTATTTTTAAAATTGATATCGCACAATTTAATAAACCGTTGATGCCAATTAAGAAAAAAATACCATAATAAGAATATGCCCTTTCATTTTTCATCTTATTTATGGCACCGTCAGCAAAGTTTGCATCATGATTATTAAGTTTACCGTGGTTTACTGCTTTTAGTTCCATGTCACATAGCTTAGTATGATGTCTAGATACACCATTGTTTATCCGTTTGTTTACTATCGTTTAAAAAAAACTTTGAGTTTAACCCAAAAAAAAAAAAAAAAAAAAAAAAAATTGAAAACAAACACGTAACAATAATATTAGTCGTGTTTGTAGGTTTTTTTTATGTATCACATTTCGGGATTATCAATAAGATAGTATGATGGTACACGTTTTAAGTGATTTTGTATAGTAATAAACTTTTGTCGTTCGTATAAAAAGTCAACGTTATGGACTTGGAATACTACTCAATGTATAGTGACTTTATAAACCTGTCATATCCCAGTTGCCAGTTATGTTTTAAGCCGTGTCACAGGAGGACCGATGACACCTCAAGCCCATTCGATCCCAATGATGATATGAAATGCATTGGTGGTATCGCCATGAAGAAATGTCTTAAAAAAGTGTATATCAATTTCCTTTTTTCAAGTCAGAAAATCGGAACGATTCGCTTTATAACACCTTAACTAAGCTGTCTAAAGTCTTTGTTTTATATACGCTATGTAAACTCATCTTATTTGTCATAGAAAGATAGCGCTAGATAGAATTATATAATACTTGGAGTTTTTACTTTGCTTAATGAAGTACGAAACTCGATGAATATGTCTTTGCATTATCGTTCCTAATAATTGCACGTTATTCTGCTAGCTGATTTGACGACTGTCAGTACTTAACACACAAGTTCATGCGAGAAAAGATGCGTTTATTGACAGCTCCTTAGATTGTCCAATTTATTTGCAATTTTTATTTTTTTTTTATTTTTTTGATACGCGAATATGAACACTTGTGTGTGTTTTCAACGTTGTGTTATCTCTGGCACAGGATAGAAAGGAGATGAAGATAGTGCGTGTAGAAAAAAACACGTCCACTGGAAAAGTACAAAAGACCAGTCTCGCGTTTTTGCTGTCACAAAAAAATTCCTTTTTTACGAAGCGGTGTACGTTTTTTTTTTATATATATATAATTACCTTTCTTTTTCCATAGAATTTTAATTCATTGTAACATGTCTGAACCTCAGGTATGTTTCCTTTTCCAACACCCTTTTTTTTTCCTCACATGGAGGCCATTATTAAACCGCTTGCTTTATCCATAGGATATGGTTATTGATCCAAAAGAAGATCAAGGACAAAAACAAGTAAACTAATGAGAGAACAGGAGAGCTCCCTCTCCTTTTAGATTAAGAAGTATTAATGAGTTAATTTTGACAACTTAGGTTTCACCTGTTTCAGAAGAGACAACCTCTCAAGTTGACTCTGTACGTATTTTTGTCGCGTTTTTTTTTGTCTGTCTGTTTATACTCATGTTTTATTAGGATGTTGATTCAGTATCACGTATGGCTTCTTCAAAGGAGTCGACACCACTTCGTACCTTTAAAGAACCTTCCCTTGTAAGAAGCTTATCACCAATTGTTGTTTTATTTCTATATATCATTTCAGCATCTCAACTCTTTTTAATTACCTACTAGTACGAAACTCGTGTCAAACGTTATAGATATCTTTTGGGTCAAACCGAATTGTTTGCGCATTTCTTGAAATTAAAGGATGACAAGGATGATGCCATGCAAGCCGTTTTAAAAGAAAAGGAATTGCAACGATTAAATGAAGACGAAGAAGGGTAATTTCACATACAATTTTTTTTTTCTGGTGAACAGTTTATGCATATGTATTTTTGACACGCACACAAAAATTAGATCAAGGCGTAGAAGAAAGACAGAAAAGGAAGAAGATGAGGAAATCTTAAATATTGAACAAGGAGAAGAAGAAGAGGAGATGACGGTGTTTACTGAATCCCCTGCATGTAAAGTCTCTTGTACGATTAGATAGGGAATTTATTATACTAACTTTTTTCTTTGTTATATATTAAAGACGTCACAGGAGGTACACTCAGAGAATATCAAGTTCAAGGATTAAACTGGATGATTTCATTATTTGAGAATGGCATCAATGGTATTTTAGCTGACGAAATGGTAAGATAAGCTGGCCATTAGTTTCATTTTATTTTTATATTGATCTCCGTGTTAATTAGGGTTTGGGTAAAACATTGCAAACGATTTCATTTTTGGGTTACTTGAAGCATATTCGTAACATTAAAGGCCCTCACTTGGTTGTTGTTCCTAAATCCACATTGCACAATTGGTTGAACGAATTCAACAAGTGGGTACCTGATTTCGATGCGTTTGTATTTCACGGCGATAAAGAAAAGAGAGTATGTATGCTATGTATACCTTATCTGGGCGAGATATTGCTTTTTCATTGGAGGATGATCTAATTCTGTTATATAATAGGCTAATTTGATCAAGGAACGTATTCTTCCTGGTAAATTTGAAATTTGTATCACTTCCTATGAAATCTGTTTGATGGAAAAGACACAATTCAAAAAGATCAAATGGCAATATTTGATTATTGATGAAGCGCATCGTATCAAGAATGAAAACTCCATGCTTTCTCAATTAGTACGTATTTTACCTTCCAGAAACCGACTTTTGATTACGGGTACACCATTACAAAACAATTTGCACGAACTTTGGGCACTTTTGAATTTCTTGCTCCCCGATGTATTCAGCTCTTCCGACGTATTTGATGAATGGTTTGAAAAACAAGGTGGAGATCAGAAAAAGGTGGTTGAACAGTTACATAAAGTCTTGCGACCCTTCTTGTTGCGTCGTATTAAGTCCGATGTCGAGAAATCATTGCTTCCCAAGAAGGAGATGAACGTCTATGTACGTATGTCACCCATGCAACGCCAATGGTATCAAAAGATTTTGGAAAAGGATATCGATGCTATCAATGGTGTTGGTGTCAATAAGCGTGAAGGAAAGACGCGTCTTTTAAATATTGTCATGCAATTACGAAAGTGTTGCAACCATCCTTACTTATTCGATGGTGCTGAGCCTGGACCCCCCTTCACCACCGACCAACATCTTGTCGATAATGCTGGTAAGATGATTGTTCTCGATAAACTACTCAAGAAATGTAAAGCACAAGGTTCTCGTGTACTTTTGTTCAGTCAAATGAGTCGTGTTCTTGACATTTTGGAAGATTACTGTTGGTGGAAAGAATACCAATACTGCCGTATTGATGGTCAAACCAGCCAAGAAGATCGTATCGACGCTATTGATGAATACAACAAGCCTGATAGTGAGAAGTTTATCTTTTTGTTAACCACTCGTGCTGGTGGTCTTGGTATCAATTTAACCTCGGCCGATATTGTTATTTTGTATGATAGTGATTGGAATCCTCAAGTTGATTTACAAGCCATGGATCGTGCTCATCGTATCGGACAAACTAAACAGGTTTACGTGTTCCGTTTCGTGACTGAGAACGCAATTGAAGAAAAAGTATTGGAGCGTGCTGCCCAAAAGCTTCGTCTGGATCAATTGGTAATTCAACAAGGTCGTATGTCTGCTGGAGCCAAATCCAAGCTTGCTTCTAAAGACGATTTACTTACGATGATCCAACACGGCGCTGAGAATATCTTCAAGGATGAGAATAATGAAGATACCGGTGCTGATGATAATATTGATGAAATTTTACGTCACGGTGAAGAGAGAACAGCCGAATTAAATAGCAAGTACTCCAACTTACAAATTGACGATTTGAAGAACTTTTCTTCTGAAAGTGCATACAAGTGGGATGGTGAAGATTGGAGTCACAAGAGAAAGGCTGAAAGTGTTGGTCTTTCTTGGTTAGGACCTGCTAAAAGAGAAAGAAAGGCCAATTATGCTGTTGATGATTATTATAAAGAAGCTTTGCGTACAAGTGCTCGTACTCCCTCCACAAAGGCACCTCGTCCTAAAAAATACAACATTGAAGATTTCCAATTCTTCCCTGCTCGTCTCGCAGAATTGAATGATCGAGATACACTTTATTTGCGAAAGACATTAGGCTATAAGATTCCACCAGTAACCCCTGAGGAAGGCATGTCCGACGAAGACCTGAAACAATTGGAACTTGAAAGAGAAGAGGAACAAAAGAAGATTGAGGCAGCCGAGCCTCTTACTGAGAAGGAAGAAGAAGAGCGTAAGAGCTTATTTACCAAGGGATTCTCCAACTGGGGTAAAAAAGATTTCGCGATTTTCATCAGTGCCTGTGCCAAATACGGAAGAAAAGACTTAGAATCGATTACTTCCGAGTTGGAAGGTAAGACTTTAGACGAAGTGAAAAAATATTCCAAGGTCTTTTGGTCTCGATACAAGGAGATTTCCGACTACGAAAGACATATTTCCAAGATTGAAAAGGGAGAAAGCGAATTAGAGAAACAAGCAGATATCCAAGGACAATTGACAGAAAAGGTTCAACGTCATCGTATCCCACTTCAACAGTTAAAGATTCATTATACTCAACCCACCAAAGGTAAAAATTATACAGAGGAGGAAGATCGTTTCTTGGTTGTTATGCTTGAAAAATATGGTTACGGCTCTGAAAATGTCTACGATCATATCCGTCGTGAAATCAAGCAATCTCCTCTCTTTAGATTCGATTGGTTCTTAAAATCAAGAACTTCTCAAGAAATCGCTAGACGTTGTAACACATTAATCAGTTTAATTCAAAAGGAAAATGCCGAATTCGATGAATCTGAAGAAAAGAAGCAACCCCAGGCAAAGAATAGAGGTGGAAGATCAAAATCAAGTACACCAGTTACTGCTGCTGCTCCCGCTGCAACTACATCAACAGCTGCCAAGTCAAGACGCCGCTAAATAAGATCAATATTTAAGTTAAAAGAAAAGAAAAAAAAAAAGACTCCTTATATAAATACACAGTGCTTTAATAAACAATCATCACGAGACGGAGTGTTAAAACATGAGAGAGAGTGAAAAAAAAAGTGTCAGAAAAAAAGTTTTTTTTTCTTTCATTGTTAAACCCAGTTGTAGAAAATATGTCTGAAGTAGTCCAAGATAAAGTCGAACAAGTTGAGGCCGTTGTTGTTGAAGAACAAGCCCAAGAAGCCACTCCTGTCCAAGAGGAGTTAGCTGCTATTGAGAACGACGATATTGTTATGGAAGAGACTGAAACTACTCCTGTTGTTGAACAACCACCCAACGTTCACGCTGTGCTTGCCCAACTCAAGGCTATTTTCGATCCTGAGAATCTTGCCAAGGACAACTTTTTCAGAGAATTAGTCGAAAGAGATGCCGAAGGCTGTAAGTTTTATATCAATGTACATTGATTTAATAAATCTCATTTCATGTACCTAGGGGTTGCTGTCAAAAAAATGTCCATGATCAAGCGATTCAAAGAGATCCTCGAAGGCGATCTTTCCTTGTTTGAAAAGGCTACTACTTTAGCCCCCAAAGATTTCGAAATGAATGCCGAAAAGACTCACTTACGCTGTATCAGTAAGGCCGTGGAAGCTACTGTCGAGAAAGTTGAAGAAAAGCCCGTGAATCATATTTTGACACATATGGAACTTCAAAACAAGAGATCTATCTATGCTGTAAATCTTTCTATCTTTTTTATTTATTGGTCCTTCCAACTAACCCTCCTTTCCTTCTAGAAAGGATTTCCTGTAGAGAACCATCCATCTGAAAAGGAGATGAAGGAGTTTTATAGTAAATACGGCCGTGTTGTTTCTATGCGTCTTCGTCGTGAAGGTACATCCAACCGTGATGGAGCCTTCAAGGGAAGTATTTTTGTTGAATTCGAAACACCTGCTATTGCTGAAAGAGTGGTTGTAGAGGCCACCGAATACAGTCCTGAAATTCCTTTGATGAACATGTTAAAGCACGACTATGTTGAAATGAAGAAGATTGAAAAGTTCGCGGGTCAAGAATATGAATTCACCAAGTTTGCACACAGACATTTAGTCGAATATTCCAATGGTCAAGAATTCCGTTATAAGGAAATTAAGGATCTTGTCAAGGGAGTGCATTCTGATATTGGACGTCTTGAACCCTTGAAGGAGGAAGGTACAGGTGTTTTGGAGTTATTCAAGCTTTCACCTGAAGAGTTCTTAGCCAAGTTGACAGATCAACAAATTGAAGGTGTCAAGTTCTTTTTGGTCAGCTCCGATGCACGTGCTCATTTTAATAAGATTCAAAAGGAGGCTCATGCTTCCAAGCGTGGTGGTGGTCGTGGCGGTCGTGGTGGCCGTGGCGGTCGTGGAGGTCGTGGTGGTCGTGGCGGTGGTGGTCGTGATGGTGGAAAGAAGAGAGGTAGTGAAGCTACTGATGCCAATAAGGTTGAAATCAATACCAAACGTGCTCGTACTGTTGAAGTCAAGTCTGGCATACCCACGATTGCCACAGCACCTAATTAAATCCTTTTTGTACAATCCCCCCACCCCATTAGAATAATAAATAAGCTTTAACCTTTTTTATGACGTTTTTCATGACCAAAATCTTCATTCGAGTGGCGCCTAATATTAAAAAAATGATTGATTGGTTATCACAACATTTTTTAATTTAGAAGCTCATAAGCAAAAATGGGAAATGGGAAATGTGATATTCCAACGTTAGTCCATATTACCTGTCCTACCCCCCAAGTTAATTTTGTGTGTGTGTCCCTTGCTGGGGGAGGGGTTTTTAGATTAAAAAAAAAAGTTTATTGTCTGTGTTTAGGGTGCCACTAGCGATGTTATGGTTACTTTTTTTTTTTGTAATCAAGGGACAACACGGTTACTAGGGTAACGGATAAAAGAGAATGCTTTGTGATCAAAGACTAAAATATGGTAGATGACGTACACAATCTTAAACCATATGAAGAAAAAGAAAAGAGATATGATTATGGTTTTAGCCAAAAGATAGACCCCGCTTGGTGATAATTAACGAGAAATCCGAGGGTGGGGATATACAATTAGCAGACAAAAAAAAAAAAGCCTTTAACTGTTCTGGAAAAATCTTTTTAATGAATAAGCAAATCAGTGTAGGGCTGTCAATTTCACAAGAAAGAAAAAGGCCGATCTTTAATAGAGTGTTTAAAAATAAACATTGGAACCTTTCCTTATATACAATATTTGTACCAAGGTTTTCCCCCAAGACCCTGTCAATAAGACTCCGGCTTTTTTTAATTAAAAATTCGTGTAGGTGATACGAGGACATTTTTTTGTCTCATGTTTGTGCCACACTCCAGTTCCAGAAATAGATCTTCTCTTTTAGGGCTCATGCTATGGTCAGTGTGATAAATACGCCCTATTTTCATTACACGCAGCCATATCCTATAAGTGGTCACCATTTTTACTTACTAGGACAAATCCAGAACTTCCCATTGTCTATCTTTTTTATTACTGAGTACAAGGGATCACAATACTATTTTTTTTTTTTTTTTTTGCTAACTTCTTTAACAAACATCAAGGTGTTCAAAGACCGGGGAGTTTATAAGTTTTGCCTGTTGAAAAAAAGTGGCCTGTCATTTACCCAAGCTGACACACTGTAAAACACAATGTACCCCCTACTCCACGCATTACATGTGTACTAACCATATTCTATGAGTGGGAAATAGAAATAGAATCATATGAATTTACTACCCATCCAAGACACACAAAGAAACAGACAAACAAACAAAAACAAACAAACAAAAAATAGCAGTAAGATCAACCAGCTAGTCGGTGGGTAGGAAGGTTGTAGCGGAGAGACTCTATAAATATATATTTAGTTTCCAGGAAGAATTGACTTTTTACGAGTATACCACTTCTAATGTCCAAAACACAATATGTTTACATGTACCAAGAAATATTATTTATTATTATTATTCATAAGAGGGGGGAGCTTTACAAGAAGAGGGAAGAAGGAGAAAAAAAAAAAAAAAAAAAAAAGGGAGAGTAAAATAAAACTACATAGAAACCGGGAAAAAAAAGGTGTGGGTAATAGGCATATAAATCATAGAAAAAAAAAAGAGAAATGGAATTGGCTTTATACAGGCGCATTGTAATAGTAAGAAGATGCCGTGTATTTGTTGGATGAGTGCATCCAATCTTGTGCTGGTAAATGATGTAGGTACTTTGGACTATAAGGAGGAGGAGGACTTAAATGGTAAGAAGGAGGCGATGCATGCTGAGATGAAGAGGTAGAAGACGAACTAGCAGAAGAAAAGGACCAGGCTCTACGCTGTTGTTGCTGCTGTAAAGAGTATATATCTTGTTCATGATTATATTGAGGACGATAATAAGCATTCTGTAATTGCTGCTGTTGTTGTTGGTGATGGAAATGGTAGTGATGCATGTAATGATGGTGTCGAGACCTTGATGACATGTGTGTGCGATAATGTTGCATCATGTTGTCTTGACGAGAGAATTTAGAAGGGCAACCGGGATATATACAATGAAAGTTTTTTTCACCGGTATGGATTCGATGATGCCTAGCCAAGTGGCCACTAAAAAAAAATTGAAGGATGATTAGTCAGCTTTTCTAATTTTACAGCTATTGTATATTTTACATACCTGGTGGTAAAACTTTTTTGACAGCCGGTTTCTGTACAATAATATCTGCGCTTTGGAGTCAAGTCAACTTCGATTGATTCATCGTTTAACAAGCTAACTTGTCTTCCTTTTGAGTTTGTAATTGATAAATGTGTAGACATGATATATAATGAGAGGGAAAGTTGTGAATTAGTAGAATGGAAAAGAAAAAAAAGAAAAAGCCGGTTATTTATATACATCTAATTTTTTTTTTCTGTGTACCCAGACTATACTTTCTACCCTTTTATACTACTAGATTTTTAATATGTATTCTAAAAACAGAGTGCATTGATCTCAGTAAGAACAAAAAACGTGGTTATGATTACATTGTATCACAATGTAACCCTGCAGGATTTCAAAGGGAGACTGGATTCCAACAATTTTTTATTTTTTTGAAAACAGGAGAAAAACTGATATTAAAAAACGTGGGTTTGTGTTCCGATTCACGTTTTATATGTATTTTTATACCGTAGCACTGTTTAAGTTGTTGTATATCCACAACACTTGAAAAAAAAAGTCTGTGCTCGCACAAACTCTCACTTTATGGCTTTGCAGGCCAATTCTCTCTACTCTCTCAGTCTACTCTTTCTCTCTCTGTTTCTCTCTTTCGCTTTTCTTTTCGTCGTCTCTAACCTAATTGACATGTGCATCTCTCTGACAGGTGTCGATCCAACTAAATTATATTGTAGATCCTCTTACCACCCTCCTTCTCCTGTCATCCCATCTGCTTTTCTCCTGCAACCCCCTTTAGCAAAACCAGTGGCCAAGCTATTTTTTGACAACCAATCAAATTGGAACGGGATTTTAAAAAGATGACGTTCCACTTTTTTCATGTGTGTGGTTTTTTTTTTTTATTATTGGCTTTTATTTCACATTTTCATACAAATATTTAAACATGGCTGCAAGACAACCACAACAAGGAAAAACATATCAATTCAAGTTGGTTCTTTTGGGTAAAATGAAAACAAAAAAAGAGATTATATGAACACCTTGTAAATTGACTTGTATATATAGGCGAATCTGCTGTAGGAAAATCAAGGTTAGAAAACTAGAACTAAAATAGATAAAGCTGGTGCTAATACTAAACAATTCATAGTTTGGTTATGCGTTTTGTCAAGGACCATTTTGATGAATACCGAGAGAGTACCATTGGAGGTAATAAAAAGGGTTTCTTTTGTTTGTTTGCTCGCATGGAAACATTCCGTTAATTCACATGATTTTCTTTAGCCGCTTTCTTGGCACAGACCGTTTCTTTAGATGATAACACCATTGTGAAATTTGAGATTTGGTATATATAAGAACTGGAATACTTGTCAACTTGTAATAATGCTGTTATATATAGGGATACTGCAGGTCAGGAACGTTACAAGAGTTTAGCACCCATGTATTACCGTAATGCCAATTGTGCAGTTGTTGTTTATGATATCACTCAGACCGTAAGTTTCTTCGTCTACTTCTTCTGTATAATCTGTCTAATGATAAATTAATAGTCTTCTTTGGAAAAAGCAAAGGCTTGGGTTAACGAATTACAACGCCAGGCTGATCCTAATATTGTTATTGCTTTAGCGGGAAATAAGTCTGATTTAGAGGCAAGAAGAGCTATTGAGACAAAGGTATAAAAATATCTGTATTTGGAAGAAAGAAAGAGAATTGTATATTTAAAATTCAGATGATTAGACTGCCCAAGAGTATGCCGATGAATGTGGATTATTATTCTTTGAGACCTCAGCAAAGACAGCTCATAATGTAAATGAACTCTTTACCGAAATTGCAAAACGTATGCCTCTTGACCAATTAGCCAACAACACTCGTAAGCGAGGTGGATTAAACACACAAGGCGTTGATTTGGATAACAGTAATGCTGAAAATGCAAATGGATGTGCTTGTAAGTGTAGAATCTTTTTAATTTTACTATCTTTTATATTGATGTCTTTGTTAGGTTAAGGGCTCTGATTTTTTTTTTTTTTGTTTTTTTTTATAACTGAGTGTATTTTGTTACCCATCTTTCCTTCCCACCACTACCACCACCACCTCTCTTTTTTTTTCTTTTTTTTTTTCTACTAACTGTCAATTTATTATCACCTGTTTTTTATTTAATTAAACTTTTTTTTTTTTTTTAAAAAAAAAAAGTAAACTTGCATGAATCAAATTGCATAACAAAAAAAAAAAAAAAAAAAAAAAAAAAAAACTCTTTCTTTTGTTTATTTACCAGCCAGGAGCACCACTACTTCCAGCAGCGTAATTTCCTCCACCTCCACCTCCCATTTGCAAAACTTTTTTACCACGGAATTGGCCGCGTAATCTGGCACGTTCTTCAATAGCAGCTAAAAATACATTTTAGTCTATTTTGTATTTAGACCCGCCTACAGGGATTTAATTTCTTTTTTATCGTGTAGCATTTTTACCTTGTCTTGCAGCCGCCTCTTCTCGTTCTTCGTAGTTTAATACCAGTTGTTTTAATTGCTGCTGTTCTTCTCGTTCAGCTTCTTGTTTGGAACGTGTACTGACAGCAAGCACGGAATCGGAAGGAACCTCCATAATTTTAGTCTAAAAAACAAAGATATTGTGAGTGCCAATCATAAAGTAACTTTTTTTGGTCATTAATTACTTGTTGACGGTTTCCTTTCTTTGTTAGCAACGTAAATGCCATCTTTCCCGCTTCTGGTTTATTAGTAGCCAAGGTTCTTCTATCTAATTTTTTTTTTTAATTAAAAAAAAAAAAAAAAAAAAAGCTTAAATTTAGCAATAAGTAATATATGCAAGTCTTAATTAAACAAACCTTGAGCACCTCTTAAATTCATTGGAATAGGAACATCTAACATGGCTGCTTTTTTCTCAAATTTACGGGATTCGATACTATCGCTCATCATTTTACTAAACTCCCTTTCAAAGTCCTCCTCATCTTCTCTTGAAAGTTCATCCTTCTTGTTTTTCAATACAACCACATCTTCATCCTCATCATTAAAATTGGTTTCGTTATTTCCATCACTGGTTTCTTCTTCGTCCATATCATCCTTCACCACAACCTCTTCTTCTTCATCACTGGAGGATTCAGAAGCTTCACTTTCTTCAAACCCATCTTCCTGTAATTTACCATCCGCTCCCTTGACAGATTGTAATTGTTCTAGAAGCATACGATCGACGGCTTCGTTGGCTTCTTCATAGGATGAAATAATACTAAGTTGAGGTCGAAGTAATTCTAACGTATCTGTAATCATAAAATCAACATCCATGGGTGGTTTATTCTTGCTTAAAATGTACATCTATAAATTCATGTTAGTCATAAGTACCATCTACACTTTTTTTGAGTTTCATTTACTTGGAAAAAGGTCAAAAAGTTATCCAACTTCTTTTTGGAGCTTCCTCTATCAAAGCACATACCACAGGTATCAAGTAAAGTGCATACAAGTCGAATACGGAAGAAATCATGAGGTGCATCAATCTGACAGTATCTTTCTCTACCAGGTCTACCGTATTCATGACCAAACGTCACGATGGAATAAAGGGTATCAAAGATCAATGGAGATTCAATCATACGATAATTATACAATTCACCCAAGTATTTAGCTACAGCGATTCTTCTCTGATTGTGTTTAAAGATATTTTGTTCTAACCCGATTCGAATTTCTTCCACCACGCCATCCACCACCTGTACACCAAAGTCGGTATGGTAACGATTTAACCCACTGGCCAAAATAGCAATCAAATGAATATTGCCAAACTTGATTTTCCAAATCTTTTGAAAGATTTTCGCCAACATATTACGAATCGAGGGGTCCTCCCAATGCAATTTACGCAACTGCTTCAAAATCTTATCCAAGGTCTTCTTGCACAAGTCTTCATGGATCAGTTTGCGAATATAGAGCTCCATGGTGGATCGTTCCTTAACTTGAATGGCGGATTTATCGGGTGGATTAGCTTGATAATAAGCATTCTCGACCATCAAGGCATATCGACTATCCAAATGTTGTACATTCTTCTTTCGCATCACTGTTTCCAACATACCGTTCATACGAGCACTTGTCTCGGGTGATTTTAATAAATAGCGACCACATGTTTCCAAAAGGTTACAGACGATATCAATATTATGGTTGGTGAAATCATCCAGCGCTACTTTGAACGAATGGAAAATCGTGTGTGCTGGAGTGACTTTAAATTTGGTGAGTTCAGACAAGTATCGAATATTCTTGATACGAGATTCTAATAAATCTTGCGTCTTTCTTCGTTGTAATCCCTTAAATTCATGGATCAACTATGAAAAAAAAAGGGTGTGTAAATCGATGGTCAGCATACTACACTATTTCAAGGATGCGAGTTTGTTACTTTACAGCAGCAAGCACCATTTCACCGATATCGGAAAAATACACATTTAAGGTGGCGATCAATCGAGAGTAATAAGGTAATAAATCCACACGCTGTCTTTGAACATTTAATAAGGTCTTGACGAGTCTCTTTCTTGCATTCTTGTTATTCATGTAACAAAAATCAACAGCAACACTGTCAATCAAGTCTCGGTTACCACATGTAGGTAAACGAGCAAATAATCCATCCAATTGAACATTTTGTGTCGTTGGTTTATTTTCTTCGCCATCTTCGCCTACATTTCTTTTTTTAAATAAATGTTTAAAATACAGGTTTTGTGTGTGTGTGTATGTGTGTGTGCGTGCGTGATTAAACATGCTTACTCAATTGCTTCATCTACAAGTTCGGAGGGATCCATTTCATTCAGTTGAGAATCATCTTCCTCAACTATATCTTCTACTTCTTCCTGTTTCTCTTCGGCTTCCTTTTTATCGGTCTGCTCTTCCTTGGTACTGGATTGTTGGGAGTCCAAAAAGACATCGGGTACAAGGATACGAAGATCTGGTAAATCTTCATAAAACTTGCGTGCGTCCTCATCTTCCCAGATGCCATTTCCCAAATTCTCTTTACCGTCATTAAACGTATTACCACTGTTGGTAACAATGGATTGCTTTGCTGTACCGTCATCTACAGGAAGATCGGGCATATCCATATCCAAGGCATCGGATAAAGTCTGTGTATGATTCAGGATCTTTTCATAGGCCTTGGTGGCCTTTTCATAACGTTGTTTGGTTTCTTCGGATAACTCACCACGAGCAAACAAGACTTCATTGTTATGACGTTCCATTTTCTTGATGACTTTATGCATCTTGGAGAGATGATTGGCGACACTTTTATAATAAGTCTGGAATAGGTTGGTTAATAAGGCGTGGATATCGGGTGTCACGACAGATTCGGGGTCTACTACGGGAGTGACTTGTTCATCGTGTTGTTCCAATGCTGCGCGTTGCTTTCGAGGCACGATATTTAGGATGACCTGTCCATAATTCTTGAGAAAGGAAGCGACAAGTGGTAAATTCACGTATTGCTCCATATCATGATTCAACATGTCGTAAAGGACCTTGTAAACAAAGCCTCCCTCTTCTTTTTTCACGGCTGCTTTTTTGGATAACGATGAGGAGGAGGATGGGGCGGTGCCACCGCTAATTAATCCAGCTACAGCATCACGGTGTGTTTCTACGCCACCGACATTAACAGAGGATAAAGAAGGTATACCATCGCCAACAGAACGTAATACACCCACTAACCAAAGTTCGCAGACGATACGTAGATAGGTTCTTTGACGAATGATTCGAGCGGATTCTTCCTTTTCTTTTTGTTCGACACTGAGGGTGGCTAAATGTTGTTTCGTAGGTGGTTGAAGAGCTTTGGCTAATTGAAAGGACAAGAGTAAGGTGAAGGTGTCTGGGAAACGTTGATGAAGAGCAGAGATGACTTCGACACATGCCGATATATCAATGCTGGTTTTACATTTCAACATGCCTTCCAAGACACTACCCACAATTTCCGAGATATATTTCTCTAGACTGAGTTTGTTGATGTCGTTCAAGAGTTGAGTTTTTAAATCGGTTCCTAACGATGTCTTACATTTCTTTATAAATGCTGTATTCTTCTTGATATTACTGTCGAGGTTCTTTGGTGCTTCTACAGATATAAAAAGAGTTTAACAAACGACATGGGGGATTTATTTTAACTTTCTTTACCTCCTTTTCCTCTTTCCCAAGCAAGTTTATTTAATGTTCGAAGTTCTTGTTTACTTTTTTCCATCTTTAAACAAAAAGAGAGAGTAACAAACAACAATCGCGAGTGAAGGAAGAAAAAAATATGTGTGCTAAAAAAGTGTGTGACTTTGCAATTTGTTGGTTGAACCTCAACAAAAGGTCCGCACACTTACCCATTTAATTTACCTTTCTTCTCTTTCATCTCGATAACAAAAAATAAAAGGAAGGGATGATTAGTGCCTTTTTCATCTATAACCAAAAGGGAGAAGTACTCATCTCTCGTTTGTATCGACATGACTTGCGGTAAGGGCTATTTGTTTGATATATATATATATATAGACACCATCACTTATAGTAGTATATGCTAGTCGTTCAGTAGCCGATATATTTCGTATTCAAGTCATCTCGAATACAGATGTGCGTTCACCCATTGTCACTCTAGGCTCAACATCGTTTTTTCATGTGCGTCATGAAAACCTTTATATTGTTGCCGTCACCAAATGGAACGCCAATGCAGCTTTAATATTCGAATTTTGTTACCGTGTCGTGAATATCGGTCGAAGTTATTTTGGAAAGTTTGATGAAGAAGCGGTTAAGAACAATTTCGTTCTGATTTATGAGTTATTGGACGGTAATATCGAAGTATATATTCATACACACGTGGTCCCTAACCCTCCTAAATTTAAAGAAATCCTTGACTTTGGATATCCTCAAAATAGTGAAACAGATACCTTAAAGATGTACATTACAACAGAAGGCGTAAAATCCGAAAAGGCAGTAGAGGATTCGAGTCGAATTACAATTCAGGCAACAGGTGCCATCTCTTGGAGACGAAATGATATCAAATATAGAAAGAACGAGGCCTTTATTGATGTGATTGAAAGTGTCAATTTGTTAATGAGTAATACAGGTACCATCTTGAGAGCAGATGTGGCTGGTCAAATCTTAATGAGAGCTTACTTGTCTGGTACACCCGAATGTAAGTTTGGCTTAAATGACAAGTTATTACTTGATAAAGATACTGTTAACCGTACCACGTAAATATATTTTTCTTTATAGACACATTTGGATACACACTGATACTTTTTTTTTTTTATGTAGTGCTCGTCGTGCCAATGCTGTCGAGATTGATGATTGTCAATTCCATCAGTGTGTCAAATTAGGTAAATTTGATAATGATCGTACTATTAGTTTTGTACCTCCAGATGGTGAATTTGAATTAATGAAGTAAGAAGATAATGTTTAGCTTGAATGAATGACTAATGATAGTGCGCAGATATCGTACAACCGAGAATGTAAACCTACCATTCAAGGTCCATCCTGTTGTCACCGAAATTGGAAATACACGTGTGGAATACCGAATTAATGTAAAGGCTAATTTTTCACCCAAGCTTTATGCAAACAATGTCGTTCTCAAGATTCCTACACCATTAAATTCGGCCAAAGTAGAAGTTAAGGTTGGATCTGGTGGAAAAGCTAAATATGCTCCTTCAGAAAACTGCATCATTTGGAAGTAAGCCCTTTTTCTTTTTGTTCTCTCTCGTTTATTATACTCATCGTCTTATCTTAGAATCCCTCGTTTCCAAGGTCAAGCTGAATTCACTCTTACGGGTGAGGCAGAATTAAGTTCAATGACACACAAGCGTGTTTGGTCAAGACCTCCCATTTCCATGGACTTCCAAGTACTCATGTTTACTTCATCAGGTTTATTAGTAAGATTCTTAAAGGTATTTGAAAAGAGTGGTTATCAATCTGTGAAATGGGTGAGATACATGACAAAGGCAGGGTCCTACCAAATCAGAGTAAGTTCATACATAAACAATTTCCAACCTGACGTTTTTACTTACCCTCCTTGTAGTTTTAATCTCTTTATACAACCTAAATCACAAATAATACCCTTTCCTCACCCACTTGATAAAAGACTGTTTCTTTATTTTATTTTTTTGAAGCTTTTTCTTTTTATTTTTTTTCTATTCTATAATAATGCTAGGATTGGGTAAGCGAGGATGTGACCAAGTTGCCCAAAAGGCTTCACGACAATACAAAATCCCCAAGAATGGAGGACCAAACAACATGCACAGCCAAAAGAAACCATTACCCAACCAAAATCTATTTCGAAACAGGGACATGCGACCAATGACAATCATGGGTAACTGCAGCATTTGAATCACAAACATGTACAAACGTATCTTGTGTGTCACAATCACCAGCACGAGTTCATGGAAAAGGGAAGACAATAAAAACGTGACAAAGGTCGCATTAGTCTTTGTCAGGTTGTAAGATTCAATGGATTGTGCATAGACATGACGAAGTAACCAGTGATGCACTGGCTTGTTCCATTTACGGGCAAATTCGTCATAAGTCACGCTATTCCACCAATCATCATAAAAATTACGGTCCGCAAACCTAAAAAAGAGAATTAACAAAAAAATATAAGAAATTCTTGACTATGACTATGTACCTGCTAAGTTCGGCAAATGCGTTCAAGATACATTCAAAGATGATGTAGAAAATAAACAGATAGTTGAGCATGAAGGGGAACAGGAGCTCCAGAATAACGCGTGGTTCAGACATATCAGGATCATACAATTTCGGAAGGATGTAACGCTCTGTGGTAACGTAAAGCATCAGGAACGAGCCCAGTGTAGCCGTTGTCTTCTCAAACACATACCAAACACGAATCCTAAAATCCTCTGGTTAGCATTCATTGACAGCTGATTTGTTATGAAGCTTACTTTTCGGTACGTGGATACTCCATCCAATAGACCAAACTAGGTACAAGCAAATAATCCAAAAAGTTGACTACGGTTACATTATCAGGGTATCTTGTATTGCCGTGTACCATTTCCTCTTGTAAAAATATAATTTCTTCTTCCATGTGTCTAATTTCTCCATCATTTTCTGGGTTTTTAACAGAAATTAATTTAGGTAACTGTTCCTTCAATTGACGTAATCGCTTCATTTTGAGTGATAAATCTCCGTTTAATGCTGTATATGAATGCATCTTCATCATCATTACGATTGTATGCATTGTAAAGAATCCAGATTGGACCCAAGGCCAGTTTCTAAAAAGTCATATCAATTGGTATTTGTTTACTCTGCATGGTAGCACACATTTTTACCTCCAAAACGTCCAATAAATGTTGACAAATAAAAATAAGGCTTGACACGTATGTTGTATAACGACACCAAAGGTTTCATAAGGTAAAACCCCCCATACAAACAACTTGGAGAACAATACACTGAACAAGGTCATGGAGACCATGGTTAAATCCGATATCAATAAGGTCAAGCCGTCTTTTGAAAAGAGCCGAAAGAAGCCCAGTGAGAGTAATATACCTTCTTGTTCATAGCAACGGACTACGGCCTGAATCACATAGAATCCCATGGCAATCCAAAAGAGTGTGTAAAATCCTCGAAAGGTATCATTGGATGTATCCGGGTTAGACAAGTCGAATTGTGTCAGTCTTGGTTTAAAGTAAAGTGGTCTTTGTTTATTAAGTTTGAACCGCTGTTGGACCGTCCTTTCTGGTGAGGTTTTGGTAGGGATCACTGGTGCTGTAGCTGTTCTTGTAATGGGTGGTATTGATTTCGCCATTTTTGTTGTTAATCCAAGATGAGAAAAAAAGAAAAACTTAAAAATAAAGGGGGGAAGAAAGTTTTATTCCAGTTTGGCTGTACATAAATGACGTTATGCTGTGCAATGCACTTGGTCGCGTTGAAATTAATTTTTGAGTCTAAAATAATAATAATTTGGGAGAATATCTCTTTAAAAAAATATATTTACGGTTTTGTTCTAATTTCTGCCTTGACTCCCATCCTCATTCTATTTTTAGAAGAAAAAAAAAAGGGGGGGGGGGAGAGGAGGAGAAGAGGGTATACTGATCACCCCAAAAAAAAAATGTGTCACTTCTGTTCCAAGATAAATGTGTGTAACATCTTTTTTGCGGTGGCGTAAATTATTTCTTCTGTACTACATGTTGATCAGAAAGTTGACGTAGTTTCATTTTAGCTATATTATGCTAAGCTATTACTAGAGATGCAACACCATGTGTCCAAACGATTAGTCGGTATTGTACACTTTTCATAATATACTGTATCTCTTTATTAGCATTAAAACTGTAACGATTCACCAATATCTCATACCAGTTTTATACGATTGCGTTACCTTATGAAACCTGTCAATTACATCGTAAGTTTTTTTTCATTACTCGTGTAAGAAAAAGCTTAATTGAATTTCACAGTTCCAAGAAAAAAAACAGTGACACCAAAATTACATTAATATTTTCAAGATCTGATAATAATTTTCTTGTTTGCAGTCCTCCTAACCCCAACTCTTGCTGATCATTCCCAAATCACACGTAAACTTAATAGATCATCCTTTCGGTAATATCATCATTAAAATTAAATCACAGACAGATAACAATGAATTTTTTTTTTGTATCAGCACATGCACACTTGCTAAAATTAAGAATCTCTCAAAACGATTGGGTACATCCTGTATATAATGAACCGTTTCGCTTCACTATTTTTAGAATCATTAAAAAAACTCACGTTTTTCATCCCATCACAAACGTCATGATGGCTAGACCCTGTTGTGCTGCATTTCATTTATAAGTAAAATCCTTCTTAGAAAGTGTATTGTACAACAGGGAGTGTTTAAAAACTTCTTGCTACGTGGTACTAATAATGTAGTTTTTTCTCTCTCTACTTATTGCCCTGTAATAGTCTACATTTAACAGACCTTGTCGAATGTAAATTAAAATGGTGACATAAACAACGAGTCTTTTACATCCGGATAATTCGCTTCCTAATCATAGTATCCTTTCCTATGGCGAGGATTTGTCTTTCACTTCCAGTTTGTTTTTAAAGAAACAAAAATGGAATTGCAAAAATTTGCTTTTGTTTTAAAAGTCTTAGACTCTATGACTCTTCAGCGTTTAAATAATCTCTTGCTGTCTTTGTCGTCTCTCTCGCTATCATGATGACTTGAGAAAAATAAATTTCCAAGAATACCTTGGTTATATAATAATAAAACCATACTTTATGCTTGTTAGCATTAATTCTTTGTGTAGATTTTGGCTCCCAATTTCCCTCAATGTCCCAGGTCTTGAGTGTTGTTGATGTTCCCAACTATCGTCGTTCGGTAAGATTATAACCGTATCCATGGCAACTGCTTGTATAATTAGCATTTGCTTTCATGGTGTCCATTGTCATTCAAAAAGAAGAACATCATAATTATTGAAGCTTCTCATCAATGTGTCATTAACAAAGAAACCAAATAATAAGAGAGGACCCATATCACCTAGGAAAATGACTTCCAATCAACTCCCTTTTCTCTATCCACATTTGAATCGCTTCACAAACGCGGTTTTCGGGAAATTTTTGAGCATTCATTTTCGAAATATATTCAAAATGACACTTGAGCTGAGTATCTCACGCCATTGTCTATGTTAAGAAAGAAGGTTTTTATCTTTTTTCCTCAAGCGATTTGCATGATTTATTTTTTGTACTCCGTGTGTGTCCTAACTTGTCATTGTTGTTGCTGGAGGTTCTTATTGCATTGATGGACCAATGCATTAATGTCAAATTCTAAATCTGATTCCCCCAGATAACATCCTAGATATTTTAATCTTTTCATATACGAAATCTTGAGAGACCAAAAGTACCAAGACGGCTATACAAATTAATTTCTGATGCTGTGCACTCAAAGACAGACCAAGTAAAATCTGTCTGTTACTCATGATTTCTAATACCACGTCATCCATCACATCCCTTGTTAATAAAGACCATAATTTAACATATTGTACAATTTTATTCCAGTCGCCAAGGACGTGGAAAATCAACTTAAAGGACTTCACAGTCTTAAATCTCAAACAGTCAAAGGCGACAAATTCGATTTATAGTAAAACATATTAAATTTATTAAAAAAAAAAATTCACTCACTTGTAACTGGTACACCTTCAAGACGCAGGAGTTGTACCATCACTTCCTCAATCACCTCACTGGTGGGAGGGATTCGGTTTAGTGCGTTCCAATCACATCGTTTGGTGATCTCGGTGTACATTACCTTGACATTGTCAGGAATGCCCGAATGATCATAAATATGCTGGATACTGCTTTGTACAGCTTTCAACAATAACGAAGGCTTCTTACCCGAAACAAGACTATCTTGCCAGCCACAAACAATGTTGTACAAACAGGCAAATGTGTTGTTGTTACAAGTTGATTCACGAACGACATCAAAGCAGAGTGTTCTGGTACGTTCAACATCACCACGTGATTTATATAACAGACATAACAAACGACGGTAACGACTAGAAAATATATAAGGTTAGATAGACCATCCCCTTTTGTCCCTTGTGCACTCACTAACAGTCCTTGACTGTAGATACTTACGAGCCGGAGACATCAGGGCGTTTAGCCTTCAGACATTTAACTAATTCAGCACTAAGTCTTGTAAGAATATCGTGGAAGGCCTTGGCCTTCATCATACGAGTATAGTTTAGTAAAGGCGGATTTCATGCATATTATTTATACTTACATTTTTTTAGCAGTAATAGGACAGAATCCAGGCATAAGCTTTTTCCCTTGAATCCCACTTGTCGGGTACGTCGATTTGATATAATCCTTCGATTCCGTACTTAGACATGGTCTTTGGATCAGGATTGTCGATAGACTTCATCACCTTAAAGTTGGAGTTAATCTCCTTGAGGATGTTATCAATGGCTGAATCGGTGACATTGGGTAGTTTCTTTTTTTGAACCCATTCTTCAACTATCGAGACATATCGCATGTCCATTCTGGTTTTTTTAGCCACTCTTTCTTCCATACTGGGTGGTCGATCGTGCACTGGAAGCAGGATGGGTCGGCTATCGATGAATTTACCCGGATTGCGGCTATTTACGAACTTCTTCAGGCGACTGTCCTTCTTCTTACCCTTAGGCACAACAGCTGGGATGGGTGGCCGTGCTGACACGGGGGGAGATAACCTGGATGCTGATCTATGCAGACCTTGCTGGGTGGCGACAGCTGGTTTACCAAGAGTCACATTGAGTCCACGAGCAGGATTAACGGAGGGTTCCGACAGTTTAGGTGTTTGGTGCGAGGAAGCTGTATTCAACAACGAAGTTGATTTAACTGAGCGGGACGGAATCATAACAGAATCAGTAGGCTGATGTGATAAGATAGAAGAGCGTCTCTTCGACTTTGATTCTCTTGGTGATTTGTCATGCATGTAGTCTACCATGTTGCCTGTTTCATGGTCTGATGAACCTGACTTCAAGAGGTCATCCATATTCTGGTTTTTGCTCAACGACATCGTCGGTTTATGAACGTGTTCTTTCAAATAATTGTTCTCGTCTTTGTACATGAGGTTGGTTGCCTTCAAACTGTTAATCTTGGTTACAAGAGCAGGGTTGATATCGGCGTTTTCTTGTTCGGAGAAGGATATGGCTGCGGGGTTACGGGCCTTGGATCGAGTCAAATTATCAACGCGTAATTGTAATTCGTCACGATTTTGTTGAATTTTATTATTTTCGGATTGTAAATCACGAATGGCTTTTTGCAGCTGGTCCAGTTTTCTTTGGGACAACGTATAGTCTGCCGCTGACTTAACAAGTTGTTCCTTGGTATATGCAAGTTCTTGCTTGGTCTTATTGTGATCAACCTTGTTATATTTAATGCGGTTGGTTTCTTGCAAACGTTCTTTGGCTATTTCATGCATCTTCTTCCAAGTTTCCTTCTCGTCGTTGGCGCGAATAAGCTCTACTTCGAGATGCTGAATTCGAGACGTGGATTCACGATTGTCACGTTCAAGTTTATCCAGTCTATATTTGTACCCCTGGGTCTCTTCTTCGTTATCGAAAAGAGCGGCTTCCACTTCCAATGCCAAGTACTCTTCTTCAAGCTTGTCCAACTTGGCTTGAACAATTTCAACTTCTGCCTTCAAATTCGCCTTATCATTTTGTAAGGAGCGGATGAGGTTATCTTCTGCAATCTCCGGCACTTTCTTGACATTCATTTCGGCCATCAAATTTTTATTTCTTGCCTCTAATTCTTGTACATACAGCTAAAGTAAAAAAAAAAAAAAAAAAAAAAAAATATGAGTTACATAATAATAGAGAGATTAAATTGTAAACATACATTTCGGCTCTGAAGGTCTTTCTCGCAGGCCGCCAAGGAAGCTTGAACTTCTTTAGTTCGTTTCTGAACCCTGTTAATGATGACTTGACTGCCACCAGGAAGGCAAGTTGTTAGCTCGGCAACAGCTTGTTCTAGCTCGAGCTTTTCGGAGTTCATATTGCCCAGCTGGTTTTCTACTGCGGACAACTTTTGTTCAAGACAAATAATTTTTTCTGCTTGAATATTATTAATTGCCTCGAGAGACGTGATTATATCTGTTTGATTATTGGTACCGTTCTGGACTGTCCGGTTTTAATTGAAAATCATGCGCTTGAGTATTTCAAACATTCTGATTGGTTTGCTGGATTTCTATATCGTTTCTCGACATTGGGTATTTTTGGCTTTTTATTCAAGAATTGGCAAAGAAAAAGAAAAAAAAAAAGAAGCTGCCATGGGAAAAAAATAAATGGGCGCGTTTTGACAATAAGCAGTCACAATTGATTTTTTTCTCTTTGATGAGGTACGATTTCTTACGTTGCGACTACATGCAGCTTGGCTGTCTTTCATGAAAAATAGACTGTTCACTGATTATTTAAAAGTCTTTTAAAATCAGCAAAAGTTTCATTCAAGATCAAGATGGTTGTCCAAGATTTTCAATCGAGGTCATGCGTATAATTTTTCTAGAATTACCGAGAAAGTCAGCCATATCTTCTACAATATCATCAATAGTCATATTGATTCCGCTAGGTGTTGCGGCAGGATTTTTCAATATGATCTGGTCCACCTTTGAGTACTAAATCCGAGTCAGATGGTGTTCAGCATAAGAAGAGTGGAGGTGTTCAATGATCTTGGATCCATTCACTTTGTGGCTCATCGTTCACTCGGATCATGCGAAACTGAAATAATATTCCACAGTAGCTAACTGCGCATTGAAATCATTTTATTGCATTGTTACAATGAAAACACTTCTTGTTCATAATCAATTTTGGCTTGATAGGGGTCTCAATTGCTCTAGGTATAAGCACCGGCACTATTTGTCTGATCCTAGACATATCTTAGAAACTCTGTGATCGTTAATATAATCGCCATTTTTTGAAGTTGACTTGTGCGATAAAACTCCAAAAAACTCCAGAACATTTTTTCTTCACTTGAACTGAAAGAAAGCTTCACTGCTTTTTAAAACTCAGTATTGTGATACCATTATTTTATTTAGCGTATGACATACATCAGTTTACTATGAGAACAACTGTAAGCAACCCAGAACTGAAACATAGACCATTAATGGATCAACGTATATTTACTGTAATTGATGTTTACAAGAGCGCGGGATCTCCAACAAAACCCCATCCACGGTTTTTTCTTCTCTTCAAATTTGTTTTCACACTGATATTTGCTGTCTAATAGCTCTCATTAGTACCGTCAATCCAAGGATTGAATGGCTCGTGCTTTTTAGAGGTGTTAGAGAGCAAACATTATTTTTTTATTGTTATTTATTGTTTGTTATATCATTTTTTTTTTCATATCGAAGAGAAAAAATATATTTTCAAGCGGTTCTATATCGTAGTCGTGGATGGGCAACCTAGTTCCCTACTTTGATCTGTCGATTTTGAATAAGCCTTAGTAAGTACAAGCCTCTCATCATGACATAGAATGGGCGAGTCAAAAACCGAACAAACAAGTGTGCGCGAAAAGTTCTTTAACTATAAAAATGACTGATGATCAGGTAGATACTGTATGGGTTTTAAAATACAAATAGTGAGGTGTGGTTTATTGCATAAAAAGTTAGCTATTAAAACATAAAGAATCCATAGGAATCACAAAAGACTTCATTTTTTGGAATAAGGTTCCCATTGATAATATTTGCAACACGTGTATATTTAAAATAAAACTCGAAGTTGACATGTATGTCGCATTTGATAAGGGTCGATCGGATGATGTCCTTTTGTTCTTCGATATCTTTGATTGTAACAGATTTAAGAGCTAAACCATCATCATTCATCTCGAATAGGTAATAACCACGGTCTTTAGATGAATACTCCATTTCAACGACACATACACCCGGACTATCAACATATAAGAGTCGGATATCAATGATCACTAATGAAAGGTTACTGAATCCCGTTAAATCTATTAGGGCCACATCTGCCAATGGGGTATCATATGGACTATTATGTCCACAAACAAGAGTATTCATAGCAGGAACATAATTATTTAGAAGTTGCAGTATTTCTTTTGATGGGAGCATATTTTGAGTTTTTACAACCTTGATGTTTTCTTGAGTCGTGTCTGATAACTTGTTTTCTCCCTTTCTTCTGGTGCCAAGGCTGTGTATATCAGTACAGATACAAATATCGCATCTGGGATGTTTCATCGATTTATATAAAAAGTATTCAAGATTTGGACAATTTGTTAGTGCATGTTGTAAGAATTTCAAAAGTAAATCTGAATGAGCATCGTGTATATTTACAACCATACTATTGATTATTTCGGGTCCAATAGTTGACATGGAATAATCGGGTAATACGACTCCAGCCATACGAGATGATAAATCTGTGTCGCCGGTGTGATAAAAATCAAGATGATTCAATCCGTATTCAAAGTATAAATTATTTTTTGAAGTATTGTACTGAATGGATTTATACCCTCCATGAAAATCTGAAAACTGGCAAGCACAATACACTCTGTTGTCCCCTTTAAGTGCATTCAGCATCGAGTAAAAAATGGTCATATCGGACTTGCTGTTCGAATATTGTCGTTTGTAATCCTGGTCGGGATTCCAGGAGATACGAGTATCTTCTACGCTTCCAAAACTGTTAAAAAGACTTAAAGCATTATAATAACCAATTCGATCCATCCAATCATATAGATCCAGTTTGCTAATTTTTAGTGATAATCTTTCCACATGTCGAGTGACATTTTTTGCAATGTAATCAGCGTAGTTCTTTTGAAATGACGGAACATCTATTTCAAATTCTTTTAAATTCTTGTAATCCAATTTCCAATGTTTTGTCTTATCCAGAACATTTTTTATTGTAGAATCCGGAATATGATAATCACTGTGATAAGTCAACGAAACTAGATGAGGGCAAGCATCTTGAAGATCCAATGTGGTAAGTTCAGCAGAGCAAGTGTTTCTAAATGTCAGATGTGTCAAGCTATTAAAATACGTTAACAAAGTGATGACTTCACCATTCATAGAGCCAAAGTTGAAGAACAAGTTATCGAATTCCAGATCAAGACAAGTGATAGTAGCACGGTATTTGTAACAAATAGCCAAGTAAATATCGTTAAAAGTATATTTTTCGCCTTGTAAAACTTGCTTTTGTCTTTGAGTCAAAATGCTTTGAATCTTTAGTAGGAATTTGTTGGATTCAGCTTCATTTATATACTGGATATAGGACACATAGTTATCGCTATCGTCCAAGTCTAAAACTTCGATATTTGGCAGGTATTCTAAAAGTAATATCCATTCTTCCTTGTCAAAGTATACATCAGGTTCTTGATACCCACTGGGATAAGAATTTGTCATATACATTATGTAATCCATTTCATCTTTTTCTCTTTCAATGGTCAACTTTTTTGTAAATTTTCCATATTGAAAGTGACGATCGCGTTCAACGGGATCTAATCCCAAAAGCTTTTTTACCAGATCAACACGTTCGCCATCTAGTGTCACATTCTCGTAATAAAAAGGCATTGCAGTTTCCTTCCAAATACTGCACACAAGAGCACATTGTAAAATGTCATTGTTTCCGAGATGGCTAAATATTAGAGGTAAAATTTCTAGAGGAAGTTTCCACATGTTTGTAAAAGCAAAGAAAAAAGGGGAAATGTCTAGACCTCCGTATTTTTTTCAAACGTATTTTTTTTGTACCACTTACAGGAATTCTGGCAGACCAGTATGATTGCACCTATTTACAGTCCAATCCCAGCTATTCACGGTTCGTGAGTTCCAAAAACTCAAGAACTCTGCCTAGGAGGTCGCCCTCCTATTGCAAAGACTAGCCGCAGCCGCAATATCACAATTATATATCTTTTTCGATTTAGCTTCTTTTCAAAGAAACAAGAGTCACTACTAAACTAACCTTTTTATGTGATCGGTTACTTTCATACGATAAAAGAAGTATGTTAAGGAAAAAGAAAAGGAGAAGAACAAAGTGTGTGAACCAGCTTTATTTATTGATAAACAAGCTTATGTCAGGATGATTTCATTTGTCTATTTTATCATCCATAATATTTGAGCCTTTACTTAAAATAGAAACAGTTGCAAAAACCTACCAAGCAAGTCAGAGCTTGGTAATTGTCTATCTGCATTCCAGTAGTAGCTTGTAATGGCAGTAAAGCAGATTTTATGGAAAACAGAAAACGATCATCCAATGAAGTTTAGATGATATGGCATGTCAATCGACGTGTAGACCATCACGTTTGAAAAAATACGTTTGAAAAAATACGTTTGAAAAAAATACGGAGTTCTAGACATTTCCGAAAAAAGGGAGGGGCCACTTTGATTTTACATGATCAATCTTTTTTTCTTTGGTGGTAGCACTGGTTTCCTTTATAAGCGTAATACAGGAAATGTTTAGACTTCCCTTTTGTCAAACTTTTTTGACCTTTTAAAACTTTTTTTTATTCCCTGATGCCAAAATTAACAAAGGATGGACACGATGACCTCTTTTATACACCCTCAAACCTTTCGTACAACATTTCAAAGGAGGACAGAAGTTCAGCTATTGAAAAAAATAAAACGTGACATTGAAAACGACAACTTCCCATATAAATTTAGTCTTTCCTATAGAAACGCTCGGAAAGTACAGCTCTGTTCTACTTGAAGAATATATAACTGCAAATTCAAAGTAAAATACAACTACTATGTACGCAAACAAGCATGGGTATACTCTCCAGTCAAAACTTCGCATAATCATATACGTTTTTTTGACCCGTTTGTACAAGGAAACAGTGATACAAATATTCGGAAAACGACAGATTTCCAGTTACAGAATATCTAAATGGAGGACCAAGATGAAAAACGAGATTTGTCTTACTATTTGCATAATTGAAAAATGAAAAAAAAATTATCAGTCCTCAAGTAATCATCCTTTTTTTCTGGATGTATTAAGATTAAAGATACTCTTGATGAATGTTATAAGCTTAAAGACACTTTTTTTTCTGATCATTTATTAAAAGAGAAACACATGTTGTGAGCCTCTGTCAAAAATATATGGAGCGCGAGATTGGTTGTCATTCAAAGGCTCAATTTCCAAAAACTTCAATATAAGAATACCACAGTGAAATCCCACTTTTATATTTACTCTTGAAAACAACCATGACAATGGACAATTCTTCCTGCATTGGCAATCCGTGTTGGACCATCTTTTTTTTTTTTTTGGATCGTATTAGGGGGCAAACATTAAACTTTTATAAAATCCCGGGATTTTTTTTATGTGTGGGTGACTACACTTTTCTTGCCTGAGATATCTCGGGCATGGATTTTCTTACCCAAAAAATCTCGGGCACAAAAAATCGTTCCCGCAAAGTTTAGGGAATTTGGCTGGGAAGAAATTCCCGGGAATTTTTCTTTTAATGTTTGGCGCCCCCTATTGTGTTGCGACGTTTTAGCTAGGATGCAACTGATTCCTCTGGTATGGATAGTGTAAAGAGAACGTATTAGATTTTAAAAAATGAGTCATGTCACTTCTTATAATGAAGAGGAATTTTTTGAAGGGATATTAAAGAGATTTGAGTATGATGGGTAGATATGAAGAAAAAATGACAGCACACCTGTAAGAAGAGAAAAAAAAAATGAAGTGTTTTTTCAGTGGTTTAACAGTGGTTTTTTTAAACATTCTTGACGAAATTTAAAAAATGGATGAGGTCCCAAGTACATATTACTGGCAACTATTGAATCCCAGGGCTTAAATTGGACATTTGGACGTTTGACCAAGTCGGACCTACTCCATTTTTTTAGAATTCGGATTAGACACTCGTAAGTCTTAAAAAGTCTTGACCCAAAATGACCCCCAGCAGTGTCTCTTAAATAAGAGTTTTTTTTTTTTCACTCTGAAAACTGTTATTGCTTGAAAATCCTGGTTTATTCTGTTAAAACGTCCAGGCACATTTCTATATTTTTAAAGTCCCGCTTTTTTCAGCAGCTGGGTGGGCTGGGGTTGATCCCAAATCTTTTATTAACGAATCATTACTACTAGGAGAGCTTTTCACAATTGCAAGTGTTGATGTATCCTTTTTAAAAAATGGTATTCTAAAAGAAAATAACCATGCTGATTATGTATACATATTTTTTTACTGGAATCATTGTTTACTTTATTTGATTTAAGTGTGATTTAACCTAATAAAAATTAATTAACCTTCAAAGAGACAAATAGAAAAGGAATCACACTGGATTACTTAAATCAAAAGTATGTCATTGTACTTAATTTGACTTGAGAGTAGTCAATGATCTTTTCCAATCCTTATTTTGGGAATTCTCCCTAGCTAGCTAGGATGAGAGATTTCTTGCCTAATTCAATAAGCGCGTTTTAACCCAATTAAAAAAAAGTGCATCGCGCCATCGGTGATGGGCCCAAAAAATTCCTCGCATATTTATATGAGTACGCATGTCTCACAAAGAGACAATTTTTTTTTTATATTTCTTTATTCCTTTTTTTTACCAAATAAAAAAATAAAAATGTCATTTGAAAAGAAATATAAACACTCTGTCGATGTAAAAGATTTATTCTTTAGTTACGGTGGACCTCCTATTATTGATCATATGGACTTACAATTGGATGCAGGTAACCGTTGTATTCTTGTGGGTGCTAATGGTGCAGGAAAGACTACCTTGTTAAAGATTCTGGCTGGTAAGCGTATGGTTCCAGGTGCTATCAAAGTCCTCGGTCAAGACGCTTTCTTGGATGGTCCAGTGGTAAGTTAATTTAGGGTGGATAGATGTGCCATATATTGACATATTTTTTTGGTGAGAAAAGGGTATTACTTATTTGGGTACTGAATGGGCTAATAACCCAGTGGTAAAATCTGACTTGTCAGTGGAATATTTGTTAAAAAGCATGGGCAGTCATCGTTGGCCGGAACGTACACAGGTGCTTTTAACTGTTCTTGATGTTGATGTCAAGTGGCGCATGCATCAAATCTCGGATGGACAACGTCGTCGTGTTCAGTTGGCGATGGGTCTGTTGCATCCTTGGGAATTATTATTGTTGGATGAAGTCACTGTTGATCTCGATGTGCTTGCAAGAGCTGACTTTCTTAACTTTTTAAAGGTAGAAACAGAAGAACGTGGCTGTACTATTGTGTATGCTACACATATTTTTGACGGTTTAGGTGATTGGGCAACACACATTGGACATGTTGCTGATGGACGTTGTTTGTCAATGAATAAGGTGGATAATTTCCCCGCTTTTGAAGAAATCAAACTCCAGCACAAACAGGAAGGACGTGTTGATTCACCTTTGACAACACTTTGTATCAAGTGGTTGAGAGAAGATAGAGATAGATTGAGAAATATTAAGAACGTTGATCCTGTTACTGGTCTCCCTCATTCAAAGTGGGATGAAATGTCTGATAATATGAAGAAGAACGGTGACAAGTATTATAATTATTGGAAACGATAATAAAAAATACATATTCTTAATTTTCATATGCTAATCTGCGTAACCTATCAACTCTTTTTTTTATTATTATTTTTCGTTCCCCCTCTCCTTTTTTCCTTATTATAATTTTTTTTTTTTTTTTTTTTTTATTCTTATTACCCCATCTCTTTTTTCTTCCCCATTCCCTTCTTTGCAATGTCAAGTTTTCCCGTGGAACTAGAGCCGGCGTTAAAGACTTTAATTCGAGCTTATGGCGTAGGTTGGTCCGTGACAACGGTTCCTACGATACTAGCACTTGTCGTCAAATCGTTGTTATCCAAGCAAAATCGACTCGGTGCTATTCAAAAAGCGATTTTATTGACTTTGCCACAAGTCTTAAAGAAGAGCATCACAGACAACGGATTTCCTTTACTCGTAGCGGGTGCATTTGCTGGGCCCAAGTTTCTGACCTACTTTATGAATAAACAAAAGAAGAAAATCTCGCAGAAATCAGCTATCTTCTGGTCCTCTCTCATTAGTATCTGGTCTATCCGCCGTTTATTTCCCAATATCAAGACTTTGGATTTAACATTTTTTGTACTCGTACGAGCTCTTGATGTCTTTGCTCACAGAATTTATGTCTCCCCAAAGGTTAGACAGGCCGTGCCAGAATGGTCGCTCGAGTATGGCAATATTGCTATTTTTATGCTGGCGAGTACAGAAATCATCTTTTCTTGGTTTTATGAACCCGAAAGGTTACCAAGGTTTGTATCACTTTTTTTTTATATGGCAACACTATGATCATCATCTGATGTCTTTTTTTGATGTAGATCTTACGCAAACTGGATTACCAGCATGTCAGGTATCGATCTTCGACTTTTAAGCGTACTTAAGGGCATGAGAACAGGCGAATATCAATACAATGTAAGCTTCTTCTTTTTTCCCCTTTGTTTATTCATCTTTTTTTTTTCGTTAATTAACAAAAAGACACCTAGAAACCATCCGTGCTAGGTAATGCATTAATGGACTATTGTACCCAATTAGGAATTCCTAGATCATATGCAGATCCTTGTTCCGGTAGAGTCAATTGTCTTGTCATTCATGAAGGAAACACATGGGGTTGTGAAGTCAATGCTCTGAACCGCTTTTATCGAGGCTTTAAAAAAATCTTTCCCGTAAGTCTGAATAAGGACATAATACCTTTGTCTGTTGTGCTTATATGTTGTTGTATATAGGTCTATTTATCTGTACATTTAGCTCCTCCTCTCTTCTTCCGTACTGCTCGTTTGTTACAAAACCCTGGTGGCTCTATTCTTCACATCTTGCTTGCTTCAGTCCGGTCCTCTACATTTTTGGGTACCTATATTGCCATTATCTGGTACAGTATCTGTTTTGTACGCACACGATTTGGGCACCAAGTATTGGGTGTGAATCAAAGCCGATTGGACAATACTTTAGGACCCTTGTTGGGTAGTATGTTATGTGGTCTTTCACTTTTAGTGGAAAGTAAACATCGTCGTGGTGAAATGACACTTTATGTGGTTCCACGTGCCTTGTTTTCCTTGACAGAGCGATTATTGAGTCCTCACCAAAAGGGAAGATGGTGGGAATACATGGTGGCCGAATTTGGTGAGAATGTGACGTTTGCTGCTTCACTTATGGTGTTGATGAGCGCTGTCTTCCGAGATAAATCCATGGTTCGACCATCGATTCGTGGTCTCATGTCTTGGATTTTAAAGGATGAAATGAAGGCAGATGGCGAACAAACCCCTGTGGGCGATCAAACTCCTGTCGATGAGGAAGAACTTCTTAAACTTGAAAAGAAATAACCTCTTTTTATATATATATATTCTGAATTTTTACCCCACACACACACACATTTATAATTTTTTTCTAAAAAAAAAAAAAAAAAAAAAGATCTCCATATCATTGCTTCTCTTTTTCTATACTTCTGTATTTAATTTTTTGTTATAGAAATAAAATGATGACCAGCAAACTTTAAACTAGTTATCAGCGGGGGGACTTTTGAATAGAAACAAGCAATCGCATAGTGAGATACAAGTTGTAAAGTGTTAAAGATTTACTTTTTTTATTAACGCGCATAAAGTGTTCCTGCATGCTGTTTAAAATGATTGTTTGTATAAATAATTTCGGGTCGTGTGACATATACATTATACGCAAGGTTAACCCCAATTTTATTAGCCTTGAAAACCATTGGCATATTACAAACAATAGGTATTTTGCAGCACACTCATAAATAATAAGCTGCATTCATGCAGTCTGTGTGATAATTGTTAAAAAAAAAAGGAAAAAAAAAAAAAACCTCCCCACAACTCAAATTTACCCCATCCTTTTTTTTTTCCGGTGTGTGCCATTCACATGCAATTTGTTTATTTGAAAAAGAAAAAAAAAATTTAAGTATCCAACACATTAACAAAGGCCCAGTCATGATCATAATACATTTCTCTTGTATGAACATCTTCTACATGGTACAAGAACTCAAACTTACCACGAGACAAGAAACAAAGAGGGAAGGCATACGAGATTTCACCATTGGATGGAATCTCGGGTAAGACCAGCTGTGATACACCCTGCATCAATAATTTCTCGGTCAAGTCATATTCCTTGGCTCCGTCATTGTAACTTTGTACAGGTTGTACACGTAACACTAATTTCACTGGCCGGATTTGACGATTGACAATCGTCACGTTCATGGTAACAAAATCATTGACGTTGCATTGAAACAATCGATGACCCACTGTGTTCTCCGATGCCATGTCCACAATAAATTCAATATCCTGCTTTTTCAATACACCCAATTGAAGTCCTGTCAATCGTAAAGAAGGTCGCAAATTGATCGTACCTTGACGGTTGGAGGATTTACATTGCCAGGAAGCTTTGATACGCGTCAATAACTGTTCTCGATACCAAAACATTTGTAATCGTGCTCTCTCTTGTTCGGGTGCCATCTTGGGTGCTTGAGACACTACAAACTGTTTATTGGGTTCAAAACTAGGGATCGGTTGTAATCGTTGTTCGGTGGATAAGAAGAGTTTTTTTAAGGGTAACACAATTCGCCTTGTCAAGGCAGGTTGAATTGTTACGGTGGACTTTAGTATATGTTCATCTCCTTCCTCTTCTGCTTCTCGATTATCCACTATAAATTCAATATCAAAGGGTACAGTCCATGTATTTCGGACATCCAACGTAAGTAAACAATAAGGGTTTTTATCTTGGTCATCTTCGGATTGCTGAGTGATAACAAATAATTGTTCCACAGGTTGATCTTGCGCTTGATTGATATCCAGATGCTTAATTTTATCCACAGCGTCTTTCACCATTTGATCTGATACAATCATATTATCGCGTAAATAGAGTACGTCCCAATTCAAGGGTTCCAGATTCTCATAGACGGTGATCATGATGGGTAAATAAAGTTGTCGCGTATACAAGGTGGTAGGTAATTCATCGTCTAAATCACTCTCTACTACAATGGCTTGATCTTTGATGACTCTATCCAAATAGCCATAATCCACATGAATTGCACCACCCACACATCCTTGCTTTCCATATATATTTACAATGATTTCGGTACGTGCGCCAGGAGGTAACTGAATTTTCTTACCAATCTGATTTCCCTTGGACCCTTCCCAAGAGAACACGGGTGTTCCCTTCGTATACAGTTCAATCTCATATTGATCCTCTGTGGGTAGTTCAGGATTAATCGGTTTAGGATGAATGGTGGTAGAATCTGTAAAGGACAAGGTAATAAAATCCACAGGGATGTTTCCAATGTTTTCTACTTGGATAGAGATATGCTGTACTTCACCTTCAAATAACATGACAGCACCATGTAATAAAGAGGTAGAACTGATCTTTAACAAGGGTTGATCTTCAATCACGTTTAAACTCTCTTGTACAATCTGGGGTGGTGTTGGTATCTGTTCTGTCGTCTCACTTGGCGTATTGTAAAGCGCAGACAGACCGCTGTATTTATATCGTTCCGACTCTACCAAGGGGGCATTCACCACTTTCTCTACTTTTTGCTTTTCATTCAAGAATTCTTGTTCTGCAAAACCTGTGATTTTGATAATACAGCCTCGGATAATCAAGGCACCGGTCTCTAAAGGTGTACCCATTAATCGAATCACAAGGCTTTCATTGGCTGGTATAGATCCTGATGTAGGGATAGATGAAAATTCGATGCCTGATGTACTATTATTATTTTAACATGAGTTTTTTTTTTTCCTCTTCCCTTTCTATATATATATAAATACCTTAATACGACGTTGCTTAATTCAAGATCAAAACCAAAAGGATTGGATAAGACCACCTTGAATTCACAGACTTCATCCTTGATTAAATTGATTTGAGGTTTATCGTTCTTCTTTTTGGCAAACGGGTTATAAATAAAAGGATCGCCCGAATTCAAACGACCTTCTTTGGAAGCCGCTAATGCTTTTGCAATCAAGAGTGGATGTTGATAGATGGCTTTACGTGGAATAGGTGGTATAGGTTGAATACTTTTAACGATATTAAAACCCCAGTAATTCACGCTTGTATCCACATGGCCTGTTCGTTTACTGATATTCACAATACGTTGAATACTGGAAGCTAAACGAATTTGTTCATCTTTGGGAATATGTTGATACAGATTCTTGAGCAAGACAGTGGTATAATACAACATAGAAGCATGGTCCTGGATGGCTTCTGAGATGACAATACATTCACGTAAAATATCAATTTGTAAGGCTGCCCAACCAAAGGTGTGGTTTCGTTTTATCTCCTGATTCTCTTGTTGATCCTGTTGCATGGCCATCATACGAAGCGTACCTCCATCATGCACATGACTTTGACCAATACCATAGACTTCACATATACGTTTCAAGACCTGTAAGATACCATCGTCCTTTTCCCTTTTTTGGGTAGAGGAACCTGCCATAGCAGCACGACCTCCGATCAATAAAGGGATCATTCTGTTCAAGGTTTCGTACATGAACCAAGCGGATTTTCGATGATAGCCAATGGTAGATAGGATACTTGACATTTGAGTCATGACATTGATTTGATCAATCATGAGTAAATCCTCGATATTGATAGACCATAGCCTTGTGATCCATTTAGCAATAGTAAACCTAGCGATCCCACTACCCTTGTATTTCAATAGATCTGTTGTCCTCATAAACCTTCTATTCTCTGTCTTGAAATCAGGTTGAACGATCTTGTGTAAGACAGTTTCGTTCCAACCACCGTTTAGAAAGACGGTGGTTAAGAAACGTGAGATTTTGATACATGCTTCCACATACACGAGTTTTGGAATAGGGATACTGGTGGTGGATCCCACTTTAGCATAGGTCTCTAAAAGTTCCTCGTACATGTCTGTAATTTCTGTCACAATTGTTTTCTTGGTGGGCATTTTTTTAGGTACTGGATCTTCTGCTTCTTCCTCATTGTTGAGTGTAGGTCGTGCTACAATGTGCTATATACATATGTAGAAAAAGGGATTGTAAGTTTTTTTTTTTTTTTGAGAGAAGCAACATGATGTGCTTTTATTACTTACTCCGATATCTGTCTGAAGGAAATCCATTAAAATCATGGTACAAGCCAAACCTTCCTTTGCACTACTTAACCATAAATAATCATAGGAATGATTGGCCATCTCAATCGATTCATTGTAACTAACACAAAATTTAGGATATAAATATATATATATATCTTCCCCTTCACTTACTGTTGAATGGCATCAGGTAATCGACCAGCTAATAGATAAAAATCAGCCAAAAGTTTCTTGATACGACCGGGAGTTCTTTGAACTGTTCTTCCAGAATCACCCGAGACAGACATGCCTGAAAAGGTAGTTGATCTAGATAAAGAAGGTTTGGGTGAGGGTGGTTGAGGTCTAGTAGCCGTTGTTGAAGCTCTTTTCAAGAACGAGGATGAGATGGATGAAGTAGGTACGGGTCCATTGGATGGTTTTAGAGGTGAACTAGAGGAAGGTTGTAGTTTCTTTTGAAGGTCCAAATGACGATGAACATAACCTGCAGGAATAGGAGATTCCAATGCGTTTAATTTCTCGATACGTTCAGCAATGGCTGCAAATTGATCCAGAATTTCGCTAGCAAAATCACAAATCATGGTGCTCATATAGAATGACATGTTTCCAACGTTGGGAATCATGATTAATCCTTTGGTATCGTCAGGTTGATTTTCAGTGGGATCAAAGGCAAAGCATCGTGTTGCTACGGCTGTTGGATACTAATCATTTTTTTTTTATCAAGTACGTTTAAGACCCAAGACAAAATTCCCTTTTTTTTTTTTTTTACTCTTTACCTGACCCAACATGTCTACAAATTTCTTGTATCCTTCACTCAAATCCTTATCTTTCCATTCTTGACAATCCATAATACCAATCACCTATTTCAACTTTAGCTTTTTTTTTTTTTTTTTTTTTTTTTCTCCTGATAAAAGAGTTACTTACACCGAAAATTCGACGATGAGGCTGAAAATCTTCGAGATGACAATGATCTCGGTTATACTTTGTCACAAATTGAAAATGCATTTGACCTTCTTGAAATACTTGACTACTGAATTTAGCTTTATATTTATATATGAGTGGTGATGGTGGTGGTTATTTTTAGCTAGAAAAAGGGGAGGGACCTTACCATTAGCGCCTTTATGTAAATCAGGTGTTACGTCGCCGAGACGAACACAACTGAATTTTCGAACGAGGTCTACATGATGCCAAAAGGTCGACTTTTTGATGGGTGAAACAGGTACCAATAATACTCGAACTCGACAGGATGAAGTGATGTCTAGTGCAAGATCCATTGTTGGAAAAAAAAAAAGAAATGTAGCTCGTAGAGATTTATATGTGATTTTGCATTTTTAGTTTGTACCTCCGCTCCAAGAGTTCTTACACAGAAAAAAAAAAAAAGGTTCAGGTACAACAAACAACCAAAAAAAAAAAAAAAGAGGGGGGGGGGGGAGAGCTAATTAAGATTTACTATGACAATTTCTTTGTTCTCTTGTTGGCAGGAAAAAAGGTATAAAAAGAGAGCGGGTGGAACTCTGTAATTTTTGAGTTGGCTTGTCTTTCACCTTTTAAATATGTTTTACTACCCAGATTGGACTGATACAAGCAATGTACTTGTTACTTTACTCATCGTCATTGGCTCTACCTGTCTTGTCTTGCAAGAATACTATCCAGATTCAAGAATGGGCTACTCTAAATTCAATAAACACTCAAGTACCAATGTAAGTTTCTCCAGTGTTATATCATTTTCATGTTTTGACTTGATGTCTGTTATAGATTCCTTCCTTGTATGGCATGCTTGTCATTTACGTCCCTTCTTTTCTCGTATCCATTTATATCCTACTCTATCAATCAACTACAAGTCATTTATTCAAGATTTCTCTCATGAGTTTCTTGCATTATTTCAAGCGTGTCTATGTAAGTTTAAATGGATCATAAAATTAAGCAGCATACACTTAATGATTCATCCTTTTTATATAGGAAGTCTTGTTTCTTCACAAATACTCGGGTCAAACAGTACTAAAAGATTGTATTTGTATATCATCTTCCTACGTTGGCTATGCTGTCATTGTCAATTTATTTTCTCGTAAAGTGCCTCATGTGACAGGTTGGAACGAGTGTATGGGTATTCTCTTGTTTGTCTTGGGAGAAAGTATCAATGCATATCACCACACTTTATTGCGTCGTCTTCGCTCGGATGGATCTACCAAGTATAAGGTATTCTTTCACATATTTATATATATTTGCCCACCCTTTCCAGTTTCATTGACACATTACTTATAAGATCCCAGAAGGCGGACTTTTTAAATTTGTTTGGTGTCCCCATTATGCAAGTACCTAATTAATTGAAAGATTTTCATTGTTCTTTTATTGACACACACACACACACACCCCTTAAAAAAATTAGGTTGGAGAAATAATTACTTTTATAGGCATGGTGTTTATGACACAACACTTTTTAGTGCTTTTACTGCAGGTAGCATCGGCTGCTTATTTAGCGGTCCGTGCTTACAATACAAGAGCATGGTATCAGCAAACATTTAAACAGATTCCTATAAGAGCATGTTTATTACCAGGTGTATTTTAATTTGTTATAATAAAAAAGAAATTTCTATAAGCGACGGTATTTCTCAACTTTATCTGATAAAGATGCGCTTAAAATGGCTGCCATAGCTGCTGTAATTCCCATTGTGGCAGTCGGTATTCGTTGACTATTCAACGAAGTACGTCCTAATGATTTTCGTACAACCCATTCCACAGGTCCTCTTAAAAAGATATATATCAACACCCAATACATCATCCCTCGTTGGTTTCCAAGCGTTACTTTCAATAGACGATGCTTGATTTTTTTATAATACATGCGTATCCGTTTCTCCTCTGTTTCTTGTTGTTTGGTGCTATTCACAACAATCACAGAAGAGGAAGCTTCTTCTTCTGTGGGAGGAGGAGGAAAGGTTTGGTATAGATTATCGATACTGGCAGAGATTCTCTTTTGTCTTTGATGATGACCTCCCTTTTGTGTGTCAATAAAGGACGTTAAAAAGTCAACACCCATACGTAATCCTGCCCAGGAAGATAGGTTGCCATAGTAAGATTTGGAAGTATGGTGTAAAGTACCGGGTAAAGAGGTATGACTGATTAAACTGGGTACTATAGCTATCGGCTGTTCCTCTTGTATAAAGTCTGTTGCGTCAAAGAATTCATCGTCTGAAAAGACAGAGCTTGATCTGGATAACTCTTCTTCTTGTGCCTCTTCCTCTTCCCTTTCCTTCTCCTCCTCCTGCTGCTGTTGTTGTTGCTGTTGTAAACCAAAACCGTATTTCTGGAGTATTTGATCAGAGTCTATTGACCATTCAAACCGATCATTTCCACCCAATTCTTTTTTTTAAAAAAAATGAGAAAAACTTACTATGCAATTCACAGTTTTTATTATTACCTTGAAGGATATAATCAGGATCAATCTTTGATTTTAATGCGTTAGGGTTTGTAAAGCAGACGCTATTTTTTGCCTCATCACTCAAGAAGAGTTTGATAGCTGTCCATGCACCCATATGATACCAACTAGCATTCAGTATATTGACTTTGTCTACCATACCCGGAAACCTTCCATCCAAAATAATTCCCATTGTCTTTACAATCTCACCGTCCTTTATATTTTGTGTAACTATTAAGAAAAATTTATGCAAAAAAAAAAAAAAATAGGGGGGAGGGAAGGACTTACCAAGGCTATAATAGGTGCTTTTAAAAGATTGACGACGGCTGTCATTTGAGAAACGAGAACACATGCTTCACCTCGCTTTTGACGCTCACAGGTCATATCCCACATTAACTTTCGAGCTATTTCCATCATGAAACAAGCATAACGTTGAATATGGTAAACCAGTTTCTTGGTAGGATCTCGAAACTCTCGAGGGAAAAACCTGAGTCTAACACATATCAAGGGTCGACCGCATTTATCTGTGTTCTTGTAGAATGCAAGTGCTCCCTTTTCAAAAAACTCGACACATGAATCCATGGTGAGATCTGCAATGCCTTGTTCAATACGCCAACTAATGGTTTTTAGTAGACGTTCATGAGCCTTATTGAAATCAAATTGACATTCTCGTAAGAACCGAAAGATGGTAACTTTTTTATGTGTGTGTGTATATATCTGTTTCAGTCGGTGTTGCTTAAAAAGATACATAAAAAACATGTTACCTTTGTCTTTAATATATTGTTTAGCATCATCCAAGTCCTTGGGTGATAAATTGAGTATCTGGATATCTTGTAATAAGCTCTCACAAAGCCTTTGTATTAATTCTGCGTTATCGTGGTATTGTGAATTTAAAAACACGGTTCTTTCCTGCTGTTCTAGTGAGACCATGTTTTTTTTTATTCAAAAGAAGTAAAAAAAAAAAAAAAAAAAATAGAATTGAGGTTTGAGTCTTGTAATCCCGGTTCCACAAAACGGCATTTATTTAATGCCTTTTTATAAGTTAACAAATTATGACATAAAAATCATGAATGAAACCAGTCCGAGGCCAATCTTATCCCGAATCAGCTCCCGGGAAGATGTACACATGTAGAATGGTAGCGATCCTTAAATTAAGTGTGTCATAGAGACGGTTTATTATTAATCCTATTTCTTTTTTTCTTATTGAAATCACAAGCTAACTATTTAGAAAGACAGTGATGGTTTTAATAGTTTTATATTTCATAATTAAAATCACCCATTATTTGTTCTGGTATAGAATAAGCAGTTTTTTTACTTAAAGATTTAAAAGTTTTTTTTTTTTTCAGAACCAAAAAGGGAAATTCTTCGTTACTATGAGGGCTTAACCAAAATAAATTACAGGTAAGCTGCAAAAGAAGCCCTCTTTTCTTTGTAAAAAAAAAATCATAACACTTTAGAATGGGAAGCAGCATATATACAGTATGAATGGGGAGCATTTTATGTGTGTGTGCATGTATTTATGAAAGAAAATGGGTGAATGATTATGAGGGGCGGGTGGATTTTATTAATATTTACAAATTATTTCTTCTTTTTGTGTGTGATGATAATTTTGGATTTTTTTATGAGGTGACATAAAGATTGACAGCGTTGTTAGGACCCTTATTTTCAAAGCCCATCTGAACATCCTCACTTGAACTAATAGTGATTAAATCACCATCCTCATCTTCATACTTTAACCCTAATATTGAAGTCTCAAACTCTTGTCCGCACAGCTTGATTTTACTCTCGATGCGTCTCTGTAAATCATCGTATTCAATATCAGTAGGTACCACAACGACATAGATGGCACCAAAGTAATGAACCTTAACTTTGGTGATCTCTCCAGGTAACGGTGAAGGTGTAGGAGGTGCAGTGACTTCATATCTGTAGCCGTTACTCTTGCGTTTATATGTGCTATTGGTGGGTAAATCAGGAGCTGTGCCATGAGCGGGTGGTATAGGTCTTTGTATATTGGGACTGCTTTGTGATCTTGCTCGTACATGATGAATCTTTTTCTCTTCTTTTTCTCCTTGTCTTCTTTGCCAAAGTTCTCCTGATGGCTGAATGCCGTGATTAGGACGAGTGGGGGAGGATGGATGACTGCCTGGTGGTGAGGATGGATAGGATGGGGAATAAAGTGTGGTATCAGTGCTATGAAAGGTAGAGACACTTGCGTTGGATAATGCTGGTATGCTAGTAGGAGATCTTGGTAAAGGTGGCAAAGTCATGCCGGGTACACCATTCATGAAATGACGTGCAGTGGTAGAAGAGGATGATTGAGATGATAAGGATGCTTTTCGACTAGAGACTTCGTTGCCTCTGTACATGTGATAACTCTTGCGTGAATATTCATCTCCTTCTTCCTCATGATCGTCGAAACAATCTTCTTCATCTTCATCATAGTGTAATAAGGGGTTATTATTGTCCATGCGAGGAGTTTGAGGAGTAGATATCAAATCTATCTTGGTTGCAGATTCTTTCACTTCAATAATCACACTCAGCCATTGTCTTAATTGCTCATCATTCCTGCACTTTAATAACACGGTCTGTGTATCCGTTTCCGTCCAAGATATGTGTAACGTATAATGACCTAAATAATGGGAGAGAAGAATCATTAGGAGAGAGAGAGAGAGAGAGAAAATAACGTAAAAAAAACATACCGTTTTGGCTGGATGAACCTTTTACATGCTCAATACGAGTAATAAAGATCTTGCCTCGCACGACCAATGAACCTTCTTTTCTCTTTTTTTTAATGCTAATTGAATTCTTATTGACGTCTTTAATTTCTTTACAGACCAAAATGACTTTTTGAAACAAAAAGACAACCATTTCTCTACTATGGTCCGTATCATGTCTCTGTAAAGTAAACTTTTCATGCAGTAATAAATCACCAAATGTCTCTACCAGTATTGGTCCTGCATCATCCACAATACGTTTTTTCAGGTCTTGGACTACCAAGGTGTTTTCTTGTAGACGTTTGGTTTCGTTTACCTTTTTGGTGACTCTTTGAATGGCCTCTAAACCTTGCTTGTTCTCATGCGACCAGTACCAATCCTCTGGAGTGGATTTGACGAGCTGTCCGATCAATAATGGATATTTGCAGACACGTTGAATAGGTTTGATCAACATGGAGGGGAGTTCATACATGGGTGACATGATATGAGCTAATTTCTGTAACTTTGGGGATTCTTGTACAACAAGATCTTGAGCAATCTGAAAATTGGCACAAAAAGGTTCGTATACCGAAAAAGCATCTTCAAATTGAACAAATAAACTACCGAATCGTTGATCTTTACTAGCACACGATGCTTGGTCCTCAATTTGAATTAAAAATCGTCTTTGAAAATCCACGAGAGCATTCAAGTTTCCAAATAAATAATGCATTGTGTCTGGTGAAAGTATTTCCTGTGCCTGAACTTCTCTCATGTAATTCTATGTCATTTTTCCTTTCTTTGTCAGTTTCTTTATCTCTCTCTCACTTTCATTCATAATTAAAAAAACTAACCTGGAGTCCTTCCAAGTCTTGTACGTATTTTCTCTCGGTGGATAGTAACTCAAATACAACATTGTCTCTCATGTCTTTGGGTGAATCTGTGGTTAATGCGCTTTCCTTGATGGATTTTACAGAGATGGTGCCTTTTTCTTCCAACAAATCCAATATCCTCTTTACTGTGTTTACAACCTAATTTTTTTGATATGAGATGAGGAGGGGGTAAGATATAGATATAGATGAGGATGATAGTAACTATATAGAAAAAAAATTACCTTGACAAATCCATTAGTGTCGTTTTGATATAATTCTGTTACTGTAAATAAGCTATCTTCGGAAAATAGTAACTGATCTCTACAGGCAATAATGAAATGATAGACACAAGCCTTTGATTTATTGGCGGCCGAATTATTATTCTTGTTGGCGGTCATAATTGGTTGTTCTGGTTTTAAAATGTTATAAAGAAAGCAGAGACTATTCCCCTGTCTGCAGATATGCCATAGCTTTGTGAGTGGATCGTTACTATGTGGTAAAGTCAAACTATTATCTTGGTTGCTATCACTAAAGAACACTTCAAATCCTTCCACAAACGTTAAAGCGTTCAGTACAGACCGACAAGTGTGGTAAATAGAGGCTTTTCCAGTTGCTTGCTTATTCGTAATAGAGTCATTAGCAATGGGTGATTCAATCATTTTTTTTTTTAAAGGAGAAAATAAAAAAAAAAGAGAAAAGAAAGAGAGAGAGAGAGAAAGAGTTTAAAAATTGTTACACCCGCCTATATTAATTCTGAGACCTTTTTTTTTTCTTGCCCTGAACACTTTTTTTTTTCTCTTTTTATTATTCTCAAGCCGAAACAAAACCTCGTGTCCTAAATATAAATAATTTGACAACATATCCACTGACTAAAAAACCATGCTATTCGGAGATTCAATTGTTGATAATTGAACATCACACCAGTTGGGTTTTATACAATTTAGGAGTTTTTTACAGAAAAGGGGGGTGGGGGGCGCCAAAATCAAGATCCCAGTGTGACGGGGTTTTTATCAAAATAAATAATAATAAAAAAAACACACACACATAACAACAACAATAGGGCTCCAAAAGCGGGGCTACTTCAGGCACATCTTTTTTTATTTAAACAACCAATGTGGAAGTTAATTTATAAAACTCCTTCTCGTTCTTTTTCTACATCTTGTGTTAAAAGAGCCATCTTTGATGCTCGTTCACCTCTCAAGGTATTGCAACCTCTTCAAGCCTATGCACCCACCTTTTATACGCGAGGAGAAAATATCACCCCTCTTTACGAACCATGCCAATTCTATGCACAATTAAAGGTATATAAAGCAACATCTATTTTCACCCCTTTCATGTTAACACTTTATAAAAGTCAAATATTCTTCAAGCAAAAGAACGCGTATTTATCGCTGCACTCTACATTGGACAGAGTGAACAGGACCTAGTAGACACGATTCGGACAGCATTGGAACGAACACCCACTTTACAAGTCCATGTCTTGATTGACTGTCTTCGAGGTACAAGAGCTTCCAAGGGACAGAGTTCTGCTACTTTACTCTTACCCTTGATAAAGGACTTTCCTAATCAAATGAAAGTTTCCATGTATCATACACCTGATTTGACAGGCCTGCTGAAAAAAACACTACCTGCACGATTTAATGAAAGTATTGGCTTAATGCATCTCAAAGTATATGGGTTCGACAACAAAGTCATGTTAAGCGGGTAAAATATATATATATATGAAAAAAAAAAAAGGCGGGTTTAGGTATTGACGGTATACTATTAGCGCTAATCTTAGTACGGATTATTTCACCAACCGTCAAGATCGATACATCTTATTTGATAAGCAACCTGAACTAAGCTCCTACTACCACAACCTACTAAAGCTGATTTCGAATTGTTCCTATCAATTGACATCGGGAAAGGAAACATATAACCTGACTATGCGAAAGGAGATGGCTGATCCAGTCAAGGAAAGTAAACGATACAAACGTCAAGTCCATGCCTACCTGCAAGAGTTTATCCGCACACAACCCAGTCTAAAATGTGAAGAGGAGCATGATACAGCCGTCTTACCTGTGATTCAAATGGGACCCTTTGGTATCCGACAAGATGAGAAATTCACACTCGAATTACTCACGATTGCCCATGCACAGAGGAATTGGACGATCGACCTCACATCGGGTTACTTTAATTTTACAGACAAGTATAAGTCGTTTATTTTAAAAACAAGAGCCAAATTTCAGTTCTTGACAGCATCCCCTGAAGCCAATGGTTTCTTTAATTCAAAGGGGGTTTCAAGGTTCTTGCCTCCTGCCTATACCTACATTGAAAGAAAGTTTTATAGACAAGTGAAAAAAATAGGAAGGTCGCATGATATCTCGATTGAAGAGTATAAGAGACCTGGTTGGACCTATCATGCAAAAGGTCTTTGGGTTAAATTCAATGATGATTTACCTTATCTTACCATGATTGGTTCGCCCAATTTCGGTCAAAGATCCAGTGAGCGAGATTTAGAAGCACAGGCTGTTGTCATGACAGAAAATAAAGCACTTCGAAATGCATTACACAAGGTAAGTAACTCACTGAAAAAAATAAAAAGTTTTTTTTCTTTTTTTACGTTGATATTAACCTTTTTTTTTTTTTTTTGACAGGAAGTGGACATGTTACACAAATACTCTGAACTGGTTTCCAATGAAACCTTTGCTAAATTAGATAGACAAGTACCCAATGGCGTAAAAATTGCAACCGCTTTTGTAAAGACAATGTTATAAATAAATAAAATAAAACGTGGCTTTTCACACGTGTCGTCCCGATTATATCAAAGCCAAAAAAAAAAAAAAGAACGTGCACGCACACACACACACACGGATCATAAAATGAGCTGGTTTTAAATAGGTTGGATCCCCCCTTTGGTTGATCGCAACATTCGACTTTTGTTAAAAAATGACGCCAATGTCAATTATTATGAGTGTGGCCTCAATACAACATGCTTCGTCATTTTTTTTTTCAAAATGATCTCATTTGCCACATCATCTATATTTAAAAAAAAAACAAAAAACAAAAAAAAAATTGGGTTCGTTACCATTCAGAAAGAAACTGTAGTTTATACAGTGCGTAACGGTACCAATTTGCGCGATTTCAAATAATTTTACATATTTGTAAAAAAATATCAATTTGCGCAAATTTAATTGGCCAGTTCGCATCAGTCCAACAAAAATCAAATCGCGCTTTCTCGAAATCAATTTGCGTGGGATTCAGCTAAGTGGATGCATTGTTATTAAGTGTGGTAAAATACAATTATGTATTAAGCTGCTGGATAAAGACATTTTTTCTTGGAATTATGAGCCCAGACAGCATCATTTCGACTGGCTAGCAATCTCGTATTAAAGACTGACAGAACATTCAGTGTTGTCAAATACCAATCGTTTTAATAATAAACATGGCCACCAGGAAAAAAAAAAGGGAGGGATACGATTTACTACTGCCTCTCCGTTGCATTAACTATATACCTCTGATAAAGATGATTGCCAAAGTATTTTTTTTTAAAAAAAAATATGTGTTCTAATATGACTATCTGCTGGACATAGATAAATTTTGGTAGGTGCTGTTAAAAGAACAGACGGAGTATTCATCTCTCCATCATCATCATTATTTTCATTGCGTTGACGTTTTTTGGTTGGGTCTTTAAGACTTATATCGAAATAGGCAGAAAATTGAGCCAAATTAATTGATTGTAATGAGTCTGGTCTATGAACATAGTGTTCAATCAATCCATGTACAAAACAATCAGTAGAATCAGGGGGAAGTTTGATCAATTCGTCTTTTCCTTTCAAGATATTCGTTCATTTTTCAGGCCTTGAAGTGGGAACGAAGACAGTAACGGTGCTCGCCTCAACTATTCTTATACCAAGTAAATTGTATGCTGTTTCTTGAGCAGATACTTCGCTTGACTTATAGTACGTGGAAGCTAATGGTCTTAGAGTTGTGATAATTGAGAAATAAAAAGGGAAAAGTAATTGGGAAAATAAAGCAAGTAAAGAAATGAGACTCTATAATCCTTTATTATAACTTCGAGAGTTTCTCATGATAAAAATAGAGGTCCTTTTTATATTCAATTATTACTTCAAGATTTTTCCTGAGCAGATCGAATTGACTATTTACCCGCAAACTGGGAAATGGTAGAATTAGATTTAGAAATCAGTTACATATGAAACATAGCTTATTGTTATATACAAGGAGCTAGTTGACCCATATCCGGCACTTCTAGAGCATTATAGTTTATCCATTCAATGACAGGGTCCTTGATTGGATTACTAAAATAAATTTATGAGAAACTAGAAGATTCGGCAGCTATTCGATCAATCCAGGAACGATTATGAGATCTGATCTCAGTTTGACATATGAGGGAGCTGGTACTGTGTCGTGCCAATAGAAATGTATTCGCAATATGGTACTTATAATACATAGGTTATATGTATTATAATTGAGTGACAAGATAAGAGTAATTGTATTCGTGGAATTAGGCGTCAAATACGACAAGAGTATCAAAAGAGGTTGCATTTGGCTTTTCCTTTTCTCTGATATATATTTGTTCCGTTGATTCACTCATCTCACGGTTTGCCTTATTTATATACTCCAATACGTAAGTACAACAAGCATATGGATCGAGAATAAACTGAATGTTCATGTTGGATCTAAACATGCTCAAGATTTTTCTGTTATAGTTGTTGACCATGATTTCATTTGGTACCCTTCGAATGTAGATTTTGTTGATTTTCAAATAGACTCTCAAAGCTAAAAGATATTTTTCGTAGGAAGGTGCTTTCACTACATCTAGAAAATTTTGCATTGTCATTTCGGATTCGGATGACGTTTTTGAGTTATCGTTTAAATAGGCCGAAATACGAGAGTTTAGAAGGCGCAAATTTTTAAGATCATCTACTGTATACTTACTCTCTTCCAAAGGTTCCATAATTACTGTTTGGCGCATAGGAGGAAATGGAATATTAAATCTACATACTATGGTGTTACCCCCTCGTTTTCTTCTACAAGTGCTGGTGTGTTTGTGGGTTTGTCTTGTTTTAATAAGACCATGTCCACGTACTATCTGAACTTTTGGATTTCTCATCATGGTGAGCTGTTCCGTCCCACTTTTTTGCTGCAAGTGATCATAGTGTCAGCAAATCTACTTTCAATAACTAAATATTCTTGGATTATAGTCATGGTTATAATTCTGCAATAGCTTTTTGAGTCAAAAAAGGAAGTTCGATAAACATTGGATGTATCATCTAGAATTGTTACCAAAGGTCCAATCCTCCCGCATAAAAACATCCCCAAACCATTATCGAACTTTTGCCAAATTTAATGTTAATAGAACGGACGAATTTTTCGCTGAGTCTTTCCCTTTTCTTTCTAATTGATCAAAAAACTCCCATCGTTGTTATGCAAAGCGAATCGCAACTCGTCTGAATAAGCTATCCTCTTCCAGCTGGTTTGGAATCAGGTTGTATTGCCATGCCGCAGGTTAGACTTTGATTGAAATCATCAGCCTGTTTCTTTTTTCTGAAGGTTATTTTTAATCAATAATACATGAAAATGGCATTTTCTTTTTGTTTAATGATATACAGTCTGGTAAAGGCAAAGATTTATTTAGTCAAAAATCCTTACAACTCTTTGTGTAACGCTGTTTTTAAAAAGTCATACAATTCACGAAAACTTTTCACGCTTCGAAAGGGTAAATTAGAGTACATTTTGGCTTTAGTTGTGAGGAAGACGATCATGTAATAAAGTTAAATACTATTATAGTATTTTTTATTGTGTTCATAAATAAATGTGTGTGCGCTAATTTTAATACAGCATTGATCACCATAGTTCAAATAAAAGGTTTGCCAAATTCTTCGTTCACTAAAAGAAAGTCTCTTAGATCCATCCCCTACAGGACGAAAACCTGATTTGGCGGCGTAGGGGACCCAAATCTCCTACCACCTATGTAGCCAACCATTTTCAACCTCAAAAACGAAGATTTGCACCCACGATTTGAGCACCCACTGTAACAAAATGGCAAAGAACAGCTAGATCGAACTAAAACAGTGACTCGCATTGAGTTTGTATAGCGCAGATAAAGCAAACTATACCCAAAGAATCCTAAAGACATGTGGATGAAAAGTATAGCAGGTCCTACAAAAGTGTTACGGACGCGAACAGTGACTTGAAATCGCAAAGTCTATCCGACACACGAGTTGTAGCGAGCCTTTTGACTAAATTTTTCCATGTCGACCTGATCATCAGTGAGTAAGGTTGGGGTGGTTACTTCAGACACATATACGTGAGTAGCGAGCACAGGGTTCTAAACTTATAAACCATTTTCAGCCTCAAAAACGAAGATTTGCACCCACGACTTGAGCACCCACTGTAAGAAAATGGCAAACAGCCTTCCCAAAGAATCCCAAAGACATGTGTGTGTGAAAAGTATAGCAGGTCCTACAAAAGTGTTACGGACGCGAACAGTGACTTGAAATCGCAAAGTCTATCCGACACACGAGTTGTAGCGAGCCTTTTGACTAAATTTTCCATGTCGACCTGATCATCAGTAAGGTTAGGTTAGGGTGTTTGGTAATTACCACCATTTTCACACCCCAAAACGAGGATTTACATCCACGATTTGAGCACCCACTGTGAGAAAATGTTCCCCAAAGAATCTCAAAGACATGTGTGTGTGAAAAGTATAGCAGGTCCTACAAAAGTGTTACGGACGCGAACAGTGACTTGAAATCGCAAAGTCTATCCGACACACGAGTTGTAGCGAGCCTTTTGACTAAATTTTCCATGTCGACCTGATCATCAGTAAGGTTAGGGTGGTTGGCAATTACCACCATTTTCACACCCCAAAACGAGGATTTGCATCCACGATTTGAGTACCCATTGTGAGAAAATGGTTCTCAAAGAATCTCAAAGACATGTGTGTGTGAAAAGTATAGCAGGTCCTACAAAAGTGTTACGGACGCGAACAGTGACTTGAAATCGCAAAGTCTATCCGACACACGAGTTGTAGCGAGCCTTTTGACTAAGTTTTCCATGTCGACCTGATCATCAATAAGATTGGGGTGGTGAAGAAAATAAGAAAAAAAAAATTGGCTAAAAGCTTATACGCGTCTACTTATGGCGTCATGTTTCTTTGGAAATTTCTAGAACTCCGTGATATTGCGGCTGCAGCTAGCCTTTGCTATAGGAGGGCGACCTCCTAGGCAGAGTTCTTGAATTGTTGGAACTCACGAACCGTGAATAGCTGGGATTGAACTGTAAATAGGTGCAATCATACTGGTCTGCTGGTCTTCTGGCCAGAATTCCTGTAAGTGGTATAAAAAAAATATGTTTGAAAAAAATACGGAGGTCTAGACATTTCCGTTTCTTTTGGTCAAAAAACAAAAAAACGTATTTTTTTGTGATTACGTACAGATATTTTCTTTAATCGACACAACTTCATCTTCACTACTCCAAGCTTAGTCTTCGTATACGGGTGCATCCTTCAACCATATTAACATGTGTACATGTGGGGAGCCTATTTAGAAAGTCTGTAAATAAATACCCCCAATCGTCAAAATAATTTTTACCTTTGTGTTGAAACTCGACCCTGAAAAAGTGCTCATTGATCATAAAGCCAGCAAAAGGCCCTTCTTTATCCAGCCATGTTCTTTTCAATTCCCTAAACCGATGGTCAAAATATCTCGCAGCCGTGATTGGATCAGATTGTAATAGCCGTGCCTTTTCTTCATACGTTAGTTCTTCAGCTTGCTCTTCCGTCATAATATCATCATCTACAACTTT